CTGATTGTTAAGGAGGGAGAGAGAGAAGTGATCGGAAGCTGCTCTGAGACTGAAGATAGGGAGGGACTGATCCCAAATCGATGGAATTGGGATTTTGGGAAGAACTAAGAGTGATCCACTGCGCCGTGTTTATTTCTGTTTGTTGACTTCAATCTGTCATAGCATGCCATCAGGTCCCAAAGAAATAACTTGCACCTATCGTATGCATGTATATATATTTCCCAAGTTGTATCAAATTAGAATAATCAATTATCTAAGGTATATATTCTCAATTCTTGTGCGAAGAATGATGATAAGAGAGAATGTAACATGCAGTAATCCATTAAAGATCTATTACCAGTTCGCACTCATAAAGAAAAACATAGATAGACCAACTTGAAGATGATAATGGCATTGAAAGAAGATGAGATAGCAGGCCACCGTATTCAAACCATCCCGGGGTTCCATCATCTTCCTTTAGAGGAGCATTATCATGCCAAATATGCTTAGGAAATTGATGTGAGCTAACATCTATTGCCTCAGACATTTGCCTCTTAAGTTCCACAATAAGGACTCTGCACCAATGAAACTCATCCGCATCAACTTAAAAGCCACCATATTCAAACGAAATCAGAATGATTAAAAAAGAAAATAAAAAACATCCTCCAAGGGTTACCTACATGATACATCTCTTGTGCCAACGTGAAGATCACTATGACATCGGAAGAATACGAGAAAAGCATGCCATGGCTTTTCACTCATGCCAGAAAGGCCCAGTAATTGATGCAAGCTAGCAACTGTTCCCTTAGGTAATTCTACTTTACAGTTCCACACCACAGCTCGCCACTGCATCCATAAAGGCCACAAATGAGTCTGTCCTGGCACATTGTATTAACAGCTACTTAGGATTGATTCTACAAATGTCTTGATAACTAATGCTGATTAAACAGAAAGCTTCTTTCCAGTGATTCACGCAACCAAGAAATGGTAAAACGGAGGATACAGACCAGTTGAATAATGCATCAATAATACACAAAGAACTGATTTTTCTTTTTTGTACAACTAATACATTTAAAATGACATCATGAAGTACATGAACTATTGAGAAACTAATCTGCAACTTCGATTCTAAAAACTTTCAATTTTTTTCTTTATTTTCTCTTCCCCTCCCCACTCACTCTCCCTCTCTCATTAAAAAGCTTATGTTGGAGATAAATAAAAAGAATGACACGAAAAGAAACATCGGAAAACACACCTCGAAAGATTTAATTGCACACATCTTTCCATTTGTCAGCTATGATCTTGTGATCGGAACCACAAGAGCTTAACGTATCTACGCAAGCGTCAAGCTGGTATCTGAATAACGAAAATGAGACAGCATGCCAATGGAGGAGGAAACTGTAGAGGCAAGTTTGTGCCTCCTATGTCGAAAGTAGGCTTCTGCAGACCAAAATAAGCAGTATGGATGGTTTTTATCATTTTTGATATAAGAAACATGCATGCTTTCAATAAGAAATGAATGAATCCGAAACCGGAGTACAGATGCAGAGACGTTAATATATAACAGCATCATTTTTCCCTTAAGTCCAGGAATAAAACATATTCCAAAAGTTCTTAGTCAAAAAAATGTCAGCTGCCAAAGTAATATATGTTCTGTAAGGGCGCGTTTGGTATGCGGGACGGGACGGAATAGGGTGGAACGAGGCGTTCCGTCCCGTGTTTGGTACGTCTAAAATGAGTGGGACGAGGCGTTCCACGGGACAAGTTTTGGATGATTTTGGTTCCACCTCCCCCCATGAAACGGTCCCCCCATGGAACAGGTTGTTCCATGTCCGTGGGACAGAAAATTTTAACATTTTAGGACCAAAATACCCCTTATCTTTTTCAAAATTTACTGCATCAAAATCATATAACAAACCCCAAAAACTATTTCTCTTCTTCTCAGCCGCTGATCCTCTTCACCCCATCTCTCCCCTTCGCAACCTTCCTCCTCGTCTTCTTCTCAGCCGCTGACTTTCTTGCACTGGGTTCCTCGTTGGCAATCTCCGCTGATGCGATAATCAATGGAGAAACGTCCGCACCTTTGAAGAGAGAGAGAGAGAGCAATTGAAGGCAAATTCTTGCAGAGAAAAACCCATTTCTCTGCAATTGAAGGCACTTCTCCGCTGAGCTTCACCTTTCTGCTGATTTTCAGCTTTCCGTTACTGTTTCTTCCGAGGTAAAGACTTCGCCTTTCTAAATCCACTGTATTTCATTGGCTTTTTTTCTTGGTGAGAAATGGAAATTTTGAGTTGGGTTGATTTCTATCACTGCATGCTTGGATTGTTTCGATTGTAGAGTAAATTTTCCACATTAAAATCCTGGGTTTTGTTGTTTTTTTGGAGTTCTTGATTGATTCTGGTCTTAAGTTTCATACAACACCTCAGTGAAGTTGCTTGCCGTTGTTTTGGTTTTCATATATTGGGATTTTCAATGCCATTTGATTCAAAGTTTGTTCATTTTAACAAAATAAAGGAAGGGTTTTGTGGGGTTGTTGCCCACAAATTCTGTTTAGGCCAAAGAATAAAGTTAGAAGAACTGCGGTTTTGCTTTCGATTATAATTTATATGGGTATTTTAGTCATTTTAATCTTTTGGTTCCGTTCCGTCCATGCGCTACCAAACGCAGAACGGAACAACCGTCTTGTTCTGTCCTGCGCGTACCAAACGCAGAACGGAACATCCGTTCCGTCCCGTTCCGTCTCTTTCCGTCCCGTCCCGTCTGCGTACCAAACGCTACCTAAGTGATGCCAGGGATAAGGCTAGAGAATAATTCAGAGCAAACAAGATTTAACAAAGAAAATGGGAGAGATGAGAACCAAATTGCAAAATTTGTTATTTCTGAAACGTTAATACATTATTCGGTTATGAAAGAGTACCTATAAATGTTGCACTTTTGATGCTTACTATGCTGGATTGATCCTCTCCATACCATTTGAAAATGTTGAAGATGTAGGGATAATGTGTCTTCCATGCTGCAACGAAACATTTGATCAATATGCTATGATTCTTATTTCTATTATGTCTTTTATTTTTAAAACTATTGAAGTTAATTAGATGCAAAATACCTGAGAGTCAAATGCCGAAAAGCACAACTTTGTATGAGAGAGCTCATATGATGACTTCTTCATTTATCTGTATGCAAGGAATGTCAGATATCTTGGCCCAATGTTCTCCGGTCCTATTCGCATACCTTTTCTCCAGGGTGGAACAAGAGTAGATCTCCAGGAAAGAAAGAGATGGTGGCAAGCTGTCTTCTGGCAGGAACTGAAGATTTGGACACCGTGAAATGGATACCTGTTGAAGAGAAGTGAGGTGTTGAAGTCCCTCTGCTGGAAGGAATTCCAGACTTGGGCACCCATAAATAGATAGCTTTTGAAGAGAAGTGAGGTGCCGAAGTCCTTTTCCTTCCAACGATTTCAGACTTGATAGTCCAGCGATGCGGACAGAGTTAAGAGTAGTAGGGAGCAGCTGTTCCTTGAGCAACATTGCCCAGATCTCACCACCAATGCTAACTTCTCTAAGCGAGACAAGTCCTTGCAATCCCCACTCCACTGAAGGCCTCGCTCTGTCGCAATTCCTAACATACAAATATTGCAGCTTGGGAGGCAAACCTCCTTGGGCAAATGACACAAGATTTGGAAGATTGTATAAGCCCAACGTTCCAAGGGCGGTGAGGGTGTGAATTCCTTCGGGGAATGACTTCAAATTCTTGCATCCATTGACTTGCAAGTGTCTCAAGTTGGGAGTGGGCAATCCTCCATCGGGAAAAGACGCCAGATTTGGACAGTCGTAGATTCGCAGTGGTTAAGATGGCTTAGGTTTTGATCAACTCCTTCAATAGAAAAGGATTCCAGATTCTCACAACCATTGATTACAAGAGTTGAAAGTTTGGGGAAAACGCCCAACGGGAACGACCTCGCTGAATGAAAACTCTTTTCTATATCCAAATACTCAAGTGATGTCAATTTGGCCATCATCTCGTGATAGGAACTCTAATGACGACACATTTGGGCAATTGCTGAGAGTCAAGCGTTCAAGATATTGCATTTTGGGCAAGCACTGTATTGCAACAATTAAAAATGCCAAGTGTGGACAAGAACTTCTTCTCTACTCTCTCTATTAACAGTAACAGACCGGGGCATCCATTAATATGTATTTCTAACGAATTCTGTAAGTAGTCCATGTTAAGACTGCTGCTGCTAGTAGTGGCCCATTCATCATGCAGCTGTAGAAATTCACACCCAGACACCCTAAGTGTTTTCAAGCAAGGAAGACGATTAGGCAAGTATCCTTTCAGCTTCGGACAATTCCTTATTCTCATCTCCTGGAGACACGGAAAGTCTGAACATTGACCTCCACTTGGACTCGGTAGCCAATCCTCCCACTCTGGCATCTCCTCAAACTTTAGAGTCTTCAGAGACTGAAAGGGCTGAATTACAGAAGCTCCATTAAGATCACCATAGAACTCATTACCAATCGTCCTAACAAATTCCATCCTTATGATACATAGCTCTTTAAGAGTGGGTAGCTGCCCAAAACTTGGCAAGGACAGACAAAACCTACAATCACTGATACACATGAACTGTATATTAGAGAACGAATTAGAGCTTCCTAACCAGTTTGGGAAGCTGGTTCCTCCATAGAATCTGATAGTCAGTTTCTCCAAATTTATGCAAGGTTGGAGCTTGTCAAGCACATCTCTCTCCTTTTGGGAATCATCGGCGTCCTCATCACCCCATGCCAACTCTATGTCCTTGAGTTCTTTCTTATCCTTCAAATTGGAATGAGAAAATTATTGGCCGCACGATTTGCTTCCGCTTTGAATCAACGACAAGGATGTTGTGGGCCGCAGGCTCCACACAGAAAGCTCTGGGTCACAAGTTCGTTCTTGGTCAATTGAGCAATCAGAAGTTCATTGCAAACTGGGGGATGCATCCATAATTACAGTCTCAAAAGTCTTTCATTCTACATTGAGTTATTAGCAGACTTAGCAACCAAGAGAAAACCAAGACAAAAATGGTTGGCGCTTTGATTGGAGAGGCTTTTCTCTCCGCTTCCATCGAGGTGCTGTGTGACAGAATTGCTTCAACCAAGTTTGTTGACTTGTTCCGGCAGAATAAGCTGGACGAACCCCTTCTCGAGAAACTGAAGGTGACGCTGCCCGCCCTTTCTGCAGTCCTCAATGATACAGAAGAGAAGCAAATTTCAAACCGTGCTGTGAGAAAATGGCTTGACGAGCTCAAGCATGCTGTCTTGGACGCGGAGGATTTGCTGGATGAGATCGACACTGAAGCTTTGCGATGCAAGGTGGAAGGTGAAGGTCAAACCAAGAAATTAACCGACAAGGAGTGGAACTTCTTCTCTACTTCTCCTACTCATTTTTATCAAAGCACGAATGTTGAGATACGAAAGTTATTGCAAAGGCTGGATGGCTTTGTGCAACAGAAGGTTGCCCTTGGTCTGACTGGAGATGTTGCGAGGAAGGGTTCACAAAGAACTCCAACAACTTCATTGATTCATGAACCTTGTGTATATGGAAGAGACGGAGATAAAGAAAATTTATCAAAAGTCTTGTTCTCTGATGAAGCAAGCGAGAATGATGTATCTATCATCACCATTTTTGGTATGGGCGGGGTTGGCAAGACGACCCTTGCTCGAGCCCTTTACAACGATGATAAGGTGAAGGAGCACTTTACCCTTAGATCTTGGGCATGTGTTTCAGAAGATTATGATGCTATTAGGGTGACTAAAACTCTTCTCGAGTCGGTCACTTCAAAACCTTGTAAGATGACAGATTTGATTTTGCTTCAAGTTGAACTTAGAGAACAACTGAGGGGAAAGAAATTCTTATTTGTGTTGGATGACCTTTGGAAATTTGAAATATTTTGATTGGAAGTGCCTGCAAACTCCTTGTTCTCTAAGTTGTTCTCTAAGTTCAACTTGAAGCAAATTCAAATCTGTCATATTACAAGGTGTTGAAGTGACTGACTCGAGAAGAGTTTTAGTCACCCTAATAGCATCATAATCTTCTGAAACACATGCCCAAGATTTAAGGGTAAAGTGCTCTTTCACCTTATCATCATTGTAAAGGACTCGAGCAAGGGTCGTCTTGCCAACCCCGCCCATACCAACAACGGTGATGATAGATACATTATCCTCGCTTGCATCATCAGAGAACAAGACTTTTGATAAATTTTCTTTATCCTTGCGTCTTCCATATACCAAAGGTTCATGGATCAAGGAAGTTGTTGGAGTTCTTTGTGAAACCTTCCTCCCAACAACTTCTGTAAGACCAAGGGCAACTTTCTGTTGCACAAAGTCATCCAGCCTTTGCAATAACCCTTGTATCTCAACATTCATGCTTTGATAAAAATGACTACGAGAAGTAGGGAAGAAGTTACACACCTTTTTGGTTAATTTCTCGGTTTGACCTTCACATTCCACCTTGCATCGCAAAGATTCAGTGTCGATCTCATCCAGTAAGTCCTCCGCGTCAAAGACAGCGTGCTTGAGCTCGTCAAGCCATTCTCTCACAACAGGGTTCAAAATTTGCTTCTCTTCCGCATCATTAAGGACTGCACAAATGGTGAGCAGCGTCATCTTCAGTTTCATGAGGAGTGGTTCATCCAGCTTCTTCTGCCGGAACAAGTCACCGACGTCGGTTGAAGCAATGCGCTCACATAGCACCTGGATGGAAGCGGAGATAAAAGCCTGTCCAATCAAAGCGGCAGCCATTTTTCTCTTGGTTGCCAAGTTTGCTAATAGCTCAATGAAGAATGAAAGGCTTTTGAGATTGTAAATAAATATGCATCCCAATTTGTAATGAACTTCTGATTGGTCAATCTCTTGTAATCAACCCTTGAATAGTCATGAACAACAATAACTTTTGAAACTTTAAAAGGTCAACTGGGGACAACTTTTGAAACTTTGAAAAGTCAACTGGGGACAACTTTTGAAACTTTCTCTGTGCTCACATGGGGATGCCATCCAGTGACACACATAATTTGTACAATACACATGAACAACAATTGTTTTTTATTTTATTTTTTTACCAAGAGACAAACTTAATTAAGATACAAGTTGCGGTGGTTGAGAAAAAGTGACCTCGTTAAAACCTTTCTCGAGAAGAACACGTGGGATTAAACCCGGAACAAAGGAAAAAAAGTACCCAAAAAATAATGAGTTATTGGAAATCCAGTTAAAAAACAAACCAACAGGAAACCGATATTAATGGAAGTTCTCGCGGCTTTGAGCTAAACGACACAATGTTATATTATTGATCTGCTCTTAAAAAAAAATTAACAGACTGAATACTTGCTAGAGAAGGAAATAGAAACTGTAGTTAACACGAAAACGTACTGTGGCTGGTCCTAATGGAAAAGCTGTGGTTGGAGACTGAGAGCTTGATGTTGTATTGCACCACGCATTCCACTCCCGAGTCTAAACATGAGTCATTAACGGAATGGAAAATCAGTAAGTTTTCAGTACCTCCTGAATTCAGCAATTAATCCCTTCAATTCAGGATCTTTCTCGTGTTTGTATACATGATTTGATAGCTTATATTGAGCAAACAATTAGATTTAATTTGAAGACAGAATTAACTTTTATGAGATTTAGAATTATCATTCAAGATGTGGTTAAGAACGTTGTATACAAGGCACTATTCTTTGTACTGGGAAAAAGAATGTCATCACATAATTCCTCCAGTCATATAGTAAACCAACAGACTGCTATTCAAAATCGGGCATGACTTTCCACAAACATCACGAACTAAGCAAGTATGCAAGATCCATTGCATCCAAGTAACTTGGGGAGCTCACCGGTGCTTAAACTGTTTCATGGCTCTTCCAATGTACCATTTGAGTACTCCTCACCAGCAACACCGGATGCTCCATTTGATAACCGGCTTGTGCTGTTGGAATTTGAATATGTGGAGTATGTGGAAGCAGAGCTTCCCCGAGAATTCCGAGTCTGTGCAGCCGTGCTACTTCTTGTCACCTTGAGGCGAGCCTTTCTACCCTGTGGTGGAGCAACAAATCCAAAATATCTATTAGTCTCTTGTTTAAGGGCGTCACAGATAAAAACTGGGGAAATGTCTACTATCTGAAAAGATGACGGATAATTACCTTTCCCATACACTTCTCCAGATGAGGAGCAAACCTCCCAGCCACGATAGGCCGACCACAATTCATGCACTCAAACACTTCGCTGGCTACAGAAGGATGATTCTGCCCAAATATGTCAACCACGTACTTGCTATCTGCTTCACCACTATTACTAGGATCAGCTACCCTCACCCGTGCTTGGGCTGACAGCCTTAGTTCTTCTTCCTCTTCTTCAAACTTACGATCAAGACCCAACTTCGCTATTCGATGACACTCAGATGCAACATCAACAATGATCGAATCGAGGAGATCCACAAAAACATGAGATGACAGCTGCAACCACAACCATCAAACAATGAAATTATATTGTCAAATGATTTCTATATGTGCACGCAAAATCTTTCAAACTTTAAGACCTTGAAAAGTTTTAATCATCTTTATTCTAGGCATTCCCTACACAAGAACATTCATCAACAAAAAGAAAAGCCCTATACTGCTTTGAAGTAGAAAATTATGATAATACTAGAGGAATTGGCCTTCAAACATCCCATATCTAAATACTTATTGAAAACGTAAAATTCACCATTTTCTTCCACTATGATAATCAAACTCATATCCTTAGTTCCATGAATTTGCTGCATTTTGACAAAGAATTTGGTAACCGGCAGAAGACAACCCTTGAATCATGGGCATTTTCTCTGTCTCGAAAAGATGTGATCACCAAACCAAAGAAAGATATCAACAAATTACTAGTGCAGAACCAATTAGCCATTAAAATCCTTAGTCCTAGTAATGTGTGATTCCAAAAGGTCAAGAACACATAACTGTGAAATCATCTACACCTGGACAAAATGCATCGCATGGCATTTTTATTTTCATTTTTCTATTAACAAGACACTATTCTAAACTACTCTAATTTACGAGGTCGAGGATACGAACTAGGCTGCAAAGGGGAGGCACAATGCCGTAACCAACTGGCCTAACCTGCGTCTCCATCTCAATTCATCTAAACCCATAACAACTCAAAACCCACAAAAATTTTCCAACCCATTTCTCAAACAAATTCAAACCAAATATTCATAACCCTTCAACTTCTTCCGGGTCCGAAACCTCGAAACCCAAACGCAAAAAAGAAGCAAAAGGGAGTTGCTTTAAATGTGAAAGGGGAAATACCTGAACATCGGAAGAAGAGGACATATCATTTCCTTCATTTGGAAGCGACATGGCGGATCTAAATTGGTTTTATAAGCCTACCCAAAATACAGAGAATTTATCAAAATTCATCACCAACCAAAACAAAAAATCGTTTTTGCAAAAGCAAATCTTGATATAAATCCATGGAATTGGAATTGATAGAACTAAGTAGTAAAACGCTGCGTGAGAGAGAGAGAGAGAGAGAGAGAGAGAGAGAGAGAGGGACTTGCCGATTGCTAAGGAGCGAGAGAGGGAAGTGATCGGAAGCTGCTCTGAGACTGAAGGGGGAGGGAGTGAGTGATACCCAATTCGATGGAATTGGGTTTTTGGGAAGGAGGTCCGAGAGTTATCCACTGCGACGTGTTTATTTTTCTTATTGACTTCAACGTATCATACCATGCCATCTGGTCCCAAAGAAATAACTTGAACCAATCACTGCGTGCCATCTGGCCAAAAGTAAAAAAATAATACGAAAATGCAAAAAGTTCCGTTGCCGGGAATCGAACCCGGGTCTCCTGGGTGAAAGCCAGATATCCTAACCGCTGGACGACAACGGATTGTTGTCTATAGATTGACAAATAACATAGAAATTTACGTGTTTGACCTCACTTCTAACATCACCGTAACTTTTTAGGGTTCGTCTGTAAGAGCTTTTAAAATGACTAAAAGTAATTTTAGAGAAATGCATTTCTATGATTCACTTACATTTTTTTTTAAGAATTGGTATCAAAAATATTTTTACCAAAAATGTTTTCAACCACTTTAAAAGTACTTTCAAATTACCCATTAGTTATTCACAATACTAGCTAACAAACTCAAGCCATGATGATTATTCGCCCAACTGCCAATTAATTTTGTTTCATAAATTTCACTGTCTACCCAATTCAATTTTTTTGGATTAAAATTTTCTTATTCTACAAGCCATATTAAGGGAGGCGAGGTATGAAAAATAAAATCTCAAATGCAAAATGTTACTTTTAACGACTTGAGCTACAAACTTAATATGTTTTGTAAGTTAAACTTTGTGTCAAATCAAAATCGGTCGAGAAAACGAAAAATTAGCTAGAGTGTGAATTGATTGCCCAATAATAAAAGTAAGCTTGCATCTGTCACATTGACAACTAATAAAGGCCTAGAATGTTCTAAAGAGAGTAGTTTGAATTTCCAAAGTTTAATTTTTTAAGTAGTAATGGGAAAAATTAGATTGGAGTGTGAATTGCTTCTATTAATAATTTTAATTAAATTCGATCCAAAAAAATCCAAAGTATAGGAACAGGAAAAGTGGTTTTTTTTAATTACGATTTCCCTACATATTCAAAAACCTGCAAACAAGTATTCTGGTATTGGTACGATTTTCACGATTTTTCTTATTCCTAACAATTAATTATTTAATTAACTCACTATTGTTATTACTCTACTTAAAAAAAAAACCGAGTATCCAGGAGATTTAATGGATATCATTTATTAAAATATCATGATAATGAAGTGTAAATTTAAAATGGGATGTGTTATTCACACACCCTTTTTACTACTCACACACCATTTGTTAATTTATGTCCATTGATCTTCTTCAATTCATTTGATCCGACGGTCGAAAATTATAAATGTATATGAAAAGTAAAAAATGGGGTGTAAATATTATACCCCTTTAAAATTCGTAACTACATTGGATACCCCTTTGCTAGATACCGCAATCATAAGATTCATAACTACCAATTTCCGACATCAGGGCCTTATTTTGATATATACTCATATTAAGTTTTGGTCGCCTGCAAAGGTTTTTTCTCTATGGATGAACGGTTGAGCTTTAATTATATTTTTTAACTAAATCACTGGTGAAGAAAAAAAGACATGACAAAGTAGATCGAGTCCGTATAACAAACGTCAATTAGAAGCTCTAAAAGTTATTGGGCTACGTACGAGTTTGGCACTGGGTACTGTTATAAAAAGTGAGTATAAAATAAAATTGAGCTAAAAAAGATATTTGGTAAATACTTAAAAGTAAACTTATTTTCACAATTTTGAATGAAAAAAAAAAAACTAAAAACGTAAAGCAGTAAAAATAAGTTTATTTTCACAGCACTAATAAAAGTAGTTTTTTTTTTTAACACAACAATACTAAATACTAACACATAAAATCCAACACAAAAAACAAAAAACGAGAGTTGGGATAAGAAATCCTGACCCACCAGGCCCGACTGTTGTCACGCTTCCCCAAAGTTTTTTATATGCAATTGTCAACCACTTCACACTTCCAAACAAAAAAAACAAGGCCGAAAGCCGTTTCAAAACTTTCAAATAAGATGTTTTCAACATCCCCGTGCTTATGGAGGAGCTTTATTTTTTAGTTACGCTTTCTTTTATTCCATCTTTGAAATTTAAAAGTTGTTATTTTTTTTTTAAGCTCAAAATTTGTTTTATATTGTTTTATTTTCCATCCAAAAACAGTCAAATATGCTGATGTGGATTAAAAAAATACATTTTTAGAAGGCTTATTTTTAACTACATTTCGTGGAACTCTATTTCAATCGCAATTGTCCCTTAAAACTCAAAAATCGTCACTTTACTTTCTAAAACTCAATATTCACTCCACTTTGATTTGTTACTATTTATTCTTTTAAATAACCATTAAGTTTAATATGTCACATAATTAGAGCCACTTATGACTGACGTGGCATAAATATACAGCTTATATATAAAGCTTACATATCCGACTAAATGTTGCCACATAGATTAAAACAAAAAAATACAATAAAATTTTTAATTTACATATTTTTTTTAAAGGAAAAGAAAAATAGCAAAAACAATTATTGGGTTTCTTCTCTTCCCGACCCCACTCTAATTGTTGTCCATACATTAATAATTTTTGCGGAAAAATCTCCAACCACTTGCCATTAGTTCAATTGATTTCATCATTCTTATATTCTTAATGGAGGTGAAAAGAAATTGTGGGTCTTTTTTTTCTCTTTTAGTATTCATTTTTTTAGAGGGAAATTTGGCATATTACTAATTACAAATTTTTAATAGATGAACTTGTTCTAAAAAACATAAAGAATGCAATGTGGAGTGAATTTTGAGTTTTAAGAAGTAATGTGGTGACTTTTGAGTTTAAGATGGTAAAATGGGATCAAAATCAAATTCTAATGAGCATAGCTCAAAAATAAGCCTAAACTTAATGGTTATTTAACGGAATACACAAAAACAAGCAAAAGTACGGTGACTATCGAGTTTCAGGTAATAAAGTGGCAACTTTTGAATTTCATGGGGCAATTGCGATCGAAATCGAGTTCCATATAGCGTGACTAAAAATAAGCCAAAAAACAATTTACAATTGTTGTTTTCTTAGTACTATGGTCTAATAATATTTTTTACTAAGTAAAGTATTTATAGTTGATTTATTGTGCATCTCAGTCTACCATTTAGTGTAAATATATATTGTTGTATTCAACAATAAGAACATAGTTCCCACTAAATGTAACTAGAAATTTTTATGTACAAGTGAAACCATAACATTGTCAAACAATTACCGAGAGGAATAAAATAAATAAATAGTTCACGCTAAATATGATTAGAAATTTGTTAATTATGGCCATAAATTGTCAGAGAATTCTCGAAAATTTCCAACGTGTGACTGTAATATTGTCAAATATTTTCCTTATATTATATGTGAATTGGTAACAGCATACACATGACCGTACAGTTATGCTCCAACTTATTTCGTTACAGTTGCAATAACTTAGCAAGAGAGATTAGACATTAATCAGAGATAAGGATGGTGACAGAAGCAGCAGCATGGGCACCTGCCATGGCTCCTACGGCTTCTTCTCCACAAGACCAAGACGGGATTCGCTTCTTGCTCGACAGGCACTACGCCTTGCATGGAGAGGTCATGATGGTGGTTGTGATTCTTCTGTTTGCTGCCTTCATTTTCTGCCTTCTCGTGTTTCCCTGTCTCCGGCGAGCGAAGAATCGTCATCTGCGATCTTCACTCGATGAAGACTCCGACGTCGTTGGGAAGCCGAGTAGTTGTTTTTCATCATGGTTTATGAAAAGGAGGACAGATGGAGATGGTGCAAGCTCAACAGAGTTGTCATTGAGGAGGTATATTAACAGTGAAGTTACAAGAAACCCTAGTTCGTAGCATTGTGATTTCAACGCACCTTTTTTTTTCCCTCTTGCACGCTCTTGTTTTGGATTGAATATATTGAACCACAATAAACGGATAGAAATAAACAAAAACTTGCAGAAGGAGAAAAATGGCGTGTGAATATCATAGGGAAATTTGCATGGGAGATTGAGTGTCTGGGCTTTGTATGGCTAACATGAAATCTGGGATGTGGTTGTAATGAGAGCCTTCCATATCGGTATTACTGTTAAATGTCTTTTTCATCCCTACAGCTGGTCTAAGTTAGGCTTATATTTCTGTGTATTTACATGGTTTGAATTGTCAATCACACACCTAATATGTTTCTATTTTCATTCATTATTTCTGCTAAATTCAGTTGCCTCCCTTGAGTTCGTAATATGATTGATATCGAAAAATTAGCTAGAGTGTAAATTGATTGCCTAATAAAAAAACTAAGCTTGCATCTGTCATATTGACAACTAATAAAGGCATAGAATGTCAAAACAAGAATATCTAGAATTTCCAAAGTTTAATATTTTAAGTAGTCGTACCCAGTGCACAAGACTCCCGCTTTACGTAGGGTCTGAGAGAGGTGAATGTCGGCTAGCCTTACCCCCATTTATGTAGAGGCTGCTCCCAAGTCTCAAACCCGAGACCTACCGCTCATGGGCGAAAGCACTTGTCATCGCACCAAGTGCGACCTCTTTAATATTTTAAGTAGTGATGCGAAAAATTAAGATTGGAGTGTGAATTGCTTCTATTAATAATTTTAACTAAATTCGATCTAAAAAAACACAAGTATGGGAATAGGAAAAGTGGTTTTTTAAATTACAATTTCCCTACATATTTCAAAACCTGTAAACAAGTATTCTATTATTGGTTCTATTTTCATGATTTTTCTCATTCCTAATAGTTAACTATTTAATTAATGCACTATTACTATCACTTTACTAAAATAATGGAAAATGAATATCCAGAAGATGTAATAGATATCATTTATTTTGATATGACAGTAATAAAGTGTAAACTTAATATTCGTAACTACATTGGATACTCCTTTACCATATACCGCAATCATAAGATCCATAATTAACAATTTCCGACGTCACCGCCTTATTATGATGTACTCATTATTAAGTTTTGCTCGCCTGAACAGTTTTTTTGTTTGTTTGTTTGTTTTGTTTTCACGGATGAATGGTTGAGATTTTATTAATTTTTTAAACTAAATCACTGGTGAAGAAGAAAGACATGACACAAGTCGGTTAGTCCGCAGAGTAAACGCCAACTAAAAGGCTCTAAAAAGTTATTGGGCTAAGAATGATGGACCCACTAACCCATAAAATCAAACACAAGTTGGACTAAGAAACCCTGGCCCACCAGGCCCGAATGTCCCGGGATGGTTGTCACACTTCCCCATAGTTTTTGTTCTTATCTGCAATCGTCAAACACTTCACTTCACACTTCCAAACAAAAGAATAAGATTTATTTTTAGCTAAGTTATCTTTTACTCTGTCATTTTAAAATTTAAAAATCGTCATTTTATATTTTAGAGTTCAAAATTCACGTTACATTACTTTGCTTTTGTTATTTCCGTTCAAAAATAGTCAAATATGTTAATGTGGATTAAAAACTGTATTTATAGAAGGCTTTTTATCTACGTTTCTTAGAATTCGATTTCAATCTCACTTTGCTTCTTGAAACTCAATATTCGCTTCACTTTGGTATGTTCATGTGTATTCATTAAACGTAAAGTTTACTTGTGTGGCAAAAGTAGGGCTCACTTATGGATAATGTGGCATAAATATAAAGCTCAAATATCAAATCAAATAGTGCCACGTAGATTGAAACAAAAACAAAAGAACATTTAATGTTCAAACATTATATAGCACATTAAAAAAATGAAAATAAGGAAAGTAGCACATCTCCGATCCCTCTCTCTAATCGTTGTCCGTACATAAAGTAAAATGATGATTTTTGAGTTTCAAAGCGCAACTAGAAACAAAATCGAGTTTCAATGAGCGTAGCTTAAATAAGCCAAAAAACAATTCCTAGTTGTTGTTCGCTTAATATTACAATATAATAATATTCTTCTTCACTAAGTAGAAGTCTTTAGATTCTATAGCAAATTCAATACAAAATATTATAGTTAATTTGTGTATCTTAGTCAATTAGTCTGCATTTAGTGTAAATAAATTGTTGTATTCAACAATAAGAAAATAGTTCCCACCAGTTATATTGTCAAACAATTGCCGAGAGTTAAAATTTAATAAATAGTTCACGCTAAATATGGCTGGAAATTTGTTAATATGGCCATAAATTGTCAAAGATTTCTCTAAAAATTCCTACACATTGTCAAATATTTTCCTCATATTGTATGTGAATTAGCAATAGCGTACACATTACCGTACAGTTATGGTCCAACTTATTTCGTTACTGTCAGACATAAAAAAACCACCAGCACAACTGTCAGTCGCAATAACTTAGCAAGAGAGACTAGAAGTTCAGAGATGAGGATGGTGACAGAAGCAGCAGCATGGGCACCTGCCATGGCTCCTACGGCTTCTTCCCCACAAGACCAAGACGGGATTCGCTACTTGCTCGACAGGCACTACGCCTTGCATGGAGAGGTCATGATGGTGGTTGTGATTCTTCTGTTTGCTGCCTTCATTTTCTGCCTTCTCGTGTTTCCCCGTCTCCGGCAAGCAAAGAATCGTCATCTGCGATCTTCACTCGATGAAGACTCCGATGTCGTTGGGAAGCCGAGTAGTTGTTTTTCATCATGGTTTATGAGAAGGAGGACAGATGGAGATGGTGCAAGCTCAACAGAGTTGCCATTGAGGAGGTATATTAGCAGTGAAGTTACAAGAAACACTAGTTCATAACATTTGCGATTTCAACGCACCTTTATTTTCCCTCTTGCACGCTCTTGTTTTGGATTGAATGTATTGAACCACAATAAACGGACAGAAATAAACAAAAACTTGCAGAAGGAGAAAAATGGCGTGTGAATATCATAGGGAAATTTGCATGGGAGATTGAGCGTCTGGGCTTTGTATGGCTATAACATGTAATCTGGGATGCGGTTGTAATGAGAGCCTTCCATATCGGTATTACTGTTAAATGTCTTTTTCATCCCTACAGCTAGTCTAAATTAGGCTTATATTTCTGTGTATTTACATGGTTTGAATTGTCAATCACACACCTAATATGTTTCTATTTTCATTCATTATTTCTGCTAAATTCAGTTGCCTCCTTTGAGTTAGTAAATGATTGATATCGAAAACTTTTTCCAAAACTTTGCCTCGAGAAACAAAGAACAGCTATTCATATCGATGAACTTGGTTTCGGTTTTTTGTTCTCCTGCTACAATTATCTGTGATCTAAGCATTTTCTGGAACTCAAACATGCTTAAGTCATACTGGAAGATTGTGCAGCAAACATTTTCCGTCGATTTGTGGGGTAAATTAAGACTGTAAATAGAATAATATATAGAAAATGCATTGAAAATGCATTGAATGCTTCAGAATACAAGAACAAACACAGTTTTCTTATTCATGCAGGAATGGTAAGTGATTTGCATTGCCATGAATATTCACGAAAGAGAATTGCGATTTGATCGTTTATTGATACATCATTGGTGTTACATATTGTCAAGCTAATAGACAATGCTAGAGTACACATACAAACCAATCAAGTTGGCCAACGGCAACTGATGATTGTTCCCCGAATTTGGCTTCAGCGATTTTCCTTAATTTGGCTGCTATTTGCAAGGGTTACCCCAATCAGAAAACCAAACTGCCAATTAATGCAGAAGTAAGTGAAACTGTTAGGTTGTCATCAAGCTCAGTGCTTATGGGGAGCGATTCTACCAGTGCCGAGGCAAGAGACACAACCAAGAAACCCAAAGCCATGCCCCAACTTTCCTGAACATATCCAAAGCTGGAGAAATAGTACATGTACCTGTCACAGCATTACCAATTGTTAAGAAACATGCTAGATTCTGATATTCAATTGAGGTCTAAAAGAGCAGAAAAGTAAGACAGCAAAAGCTACCCGATAGATGTTAAAAAACCAGCAGATGCCATTGCAACACTACCGGCTATAGATTTGTTTCTGTTGTATGGAAGTTTCTGGGTACCAAACCGCCTACCAACAATGTCAGCTAAACCTGAAGCAATCACGTATTAGAAGTTTGAGATAAGTCCCGAGAGCTCTGCCGTGAGATCTAGTGTTTTATTAGAAAAGATAAAAGTCAACCTAAATCAAGACAACTGAATGGACAAACTGAATCAATTAGATGTACCATCTCCAGCACACAAATTGCATATAAGAGCAATTGCAATAGGGGAAGTTCTCCAATAGACTAGACAAGCCAAAGTTATTGTCGTGGCATAGTACAGTGGTCCCTTAAGAAGTTCCCTGATGCACAAGGCAAAGTAAAACATCATATTAATTTAGGTAGTAAAAAAAATGGAAAGAACCAGAACAACAAAGTTAGATTTTAGTCTTGTTCAAGCATAGCCTGCTGCCTGCTTGTACAAAATTGTTTCCCACAAATGATATTGGAAAAACCAATGAGAGATTTCCTTTGGGAATGTTCTAGAGAAGGGAAAATACGTCATTTGGTAAGGTGAGTTGCATCAAACCACTGCATTGTACTCATTTTTCTATTGTAATAACAGAAATTACTTTGTTTCTCTTAAAATGTCAAGCAGCTCGGTATCTTTACTGAAACTTAGCAATGAACTCTGTAGGTGAGACCAAGTCCAAGAACAGACAGTCAACTGTGGGTTTATGGCAGACATATTCAATATCGACATCTTTGAAGTAATAGGTCTTTCAAAATAACTACCTGTGGTCTCCATATCTGCTCATTGATTTCACTGTTGCCTCATCCTTCCATATTCCTAGTCCCAATAGAAGCATTCGGAAGATATTGAGGCCTGGAGTAAGAGATGCAAAAAATGCTCCTTGAAGGCCAGAACTGCAATTGTACTTAGTAGCTATTATTGAGCAGATGCAAAATAAAAAAAAGGTATCAAAACGACTTCTTTAGTCAAGAGACTACCTGAATAGTGGCCAGCACAGCATGAAAACAAGGCCAATGCTCACGTGGACAAATTTTCTATTGAGTTTCTACAAAAGAAAAGTAACAGAATTTAGATGGGCAGGCTTCTAAGACAAGTTACATTGAGAAGTTTATGATCGACCACTTTGAATTATGGTAAAACGAACTTATAATGATTAAATTGAATCCGTGTAAAGATTTTGCCCATCACAATGCATATACTGAAGCAGAACCCACACTAGCATCACATCACCCTTCTCCTCTATTTGAACTGAAGAAGGCAAAAGCCAAGCAAAAGTCGTAAAGTAATAAATTTGCAAGAGCAAATCATAATTAGATTCCAACATGATAATTCGAAAACATTGCAAGCTATGTAGTATTATGTGCACATTTATGCTTAGAGGTCCCTAATTGCAATCATGCTACCAAAAGATGGTAAAAGATAAGAAATCTGAAAGCATTTTCAGCACGGATAAATATCACAGAGGTACGGAACCCCAAACGCTAACTGATCACATTTTTACAAGGTCATTCTTTAGTCTCAACTGTTAGAATGTGAGGAACATCCCAAAACCAGTTGGCAATAGGCAGAGAGGCTCAAGATAATTTAAACTATCACCCAAGACAACAATTCCCGGATGCAGGATTCACACTCTCAACATTAGCTATTGCTTATACTAAATACATTCAATTTTGCTGCATGAGCCATGCTTTTGACACCTTTGTGACTGAAAGGTCACAAGGCGCAACGTAAAGGTTGCTCCTTTGTGACCGAAAAGTTACGAATTCGAGTCGTGGAAACCGCCTCTCTGCAAAGCAAGGATAAGGCTGCGTCTGTTTACGTTCCCCTGACCCTTGCAAAGTGGGAAGCCTTATTTGCATCCACGACCTCTTTGCAAAGCAAGGGTAAGGTTGTGTAAGATAGACGTTCCTCCGACCCTCGCACAGCGGGGAGCCTTCTTGGCTTGGGTCGCTCTTTTTGGGCATGCTGTTGATCCACACTCTTCGCATCAATGGCGGCTTTAGTGGAACAACCAAGTACACTGCTTTGATACTCAAACGGCCTCATTTGGAAGTGATTAATCATTAGTGCACTAATTCAAAAGAGTTTTACAAATGTCAACTGTTAACCAATTTGTATAATCTCTTAGTTATAGTTCTTAATTGTCAGCAAAAAGATCAGTACTTTCCTACAAATCAATCACAACCCACCAAAGCTAAGACCAAAAATTGAGTTCCCAAATAGAAACCGTACAAAAATACACATTATACGATAAAAGATGGGATTTTGACCTGGTCGAAGATCCCACGCTTGGCGGTTTCTTGCCACAATAGCAGGAAGAAAGAGCAACGCCGCCGGCAATGAAGGCGGCGCAAGTGTCAGCAACCACCGGGTTTTCTGGAAGCATAGTGGCGGGAGTTGACGTCAGTTGGCGGCGGCGACTCCGAGGCTTGGAGATTGTTGTTGTGAGTTCGAATCTGAGTGAGGGAGCGAGGAGAGAGAGGGTGGAAGTGTCTGCAATTGAATTGGAAGGGAGAAGAAGAAGACCGAGTCTAGTGGTAGAAGACGATCTTGGTAGGTAGCCTACCTGGTAGAGGAAGGAACATGGTTTGCCCGTGCCCTTTATGGCTACTGGAACAAAGGCAAGGGAAGAGTGCATCTCTGCTCCTATTAAATGCTCTGAGCTTACCCTCCCCTCATTGGCACTTGCTTTATTTTAAGGGTTTTTTTTTCTTTCAAAATGGTTCTTGACATTTTTATAACTTCTCATTTTGATCATTAAAATTTAATATCAATATAAGTGATCCCTGAATTTGTCAACCATCAATTGTTTTGGTCATTTTGTCAAGGACCAAAGTGAAGAGTTATGACAATCTCAAATACCATTTCCACTAAAAAAAACCTTTCGGGGTGTATTCAATTGGGATTTTAATTCTCTTACATCATGTTTGGATAAAGAAATTTAAGATTAATGAGGAATTTTAAAATTACGGTAATTAAGATGACGGGATTTTATTTTCTAAAATTTATGAATTTTTTTTATTTGGTTAACCTAAAAGTAATAGAATTGAATATAAAATTTGTTATGTTTAAACTCTCAATCATAGAAATTGGAAATGACACATATTTACATAGAATTTAAACTTGGGAATTGGAGGTCCCAAATTCTAAGTTTTTTTTTTCCACACGGAAATTCTAAATTTCTATGTTTATGAATCCAAACAAAGGAATTGATGCATATCAATTTATAAATTCTGACTTTTACCCAAATTTCAGGTTTATTTCTCTCATCCAAACATAGTGTTAATGAATTTAGGTGTATTCAATCATACTTTTAAGTGATTTTCTAAAAGTTAATGTGTATTCAATCAAGATTTTAAGATATTTATTAAAATCCTTAGAAATTCGAGTGTATTCAATTAGGATTTTAAAGAAGTTTATAACATTCAAGGTGTATTAATTAAAATTTGATTTTAAAGAATTTGAAAATTTTGAGGAATTATAGGGAATTTGAGAGATTTCTTAGTGTATTTTAAGTATCCACATATCTCGCTTCTCCCCATGAGATTTCGAGGGAATTGAATCAAAATTTTATATGAAATCTCTACAAATCAATTAAACTCCATAAAAATTTATGGATTTATAAATTCATTTAATTCTCTCAAATTCCCAATTGAATGCACCCCTCTACTTTTAATAATAAATTTGTCTTTTGAAATATAAGTAGTTAAGATTATACAATCAACTCCTACAAACTAGTTAACTGATTTGTTATATTACATACTAGGAAAGTAATCAATACAAAACACTTACCCTATAATACTAATTGATATGAATATCTTCATACAATCTTTAACTTTCTCAGTTGAAATCTTCATACAACCTTTGACTTTCTCAACGCTTTCCCTCAAATTGGTGAGTGAATGTTTTGAACGCCCAACTTGCCCAGCAAAGAATGAAATCTCTCATTTCAAAGAGCCTTAGTGAACAAGTCGGCCAGATGAGCAATAGATGGAACAAATCTTGTTACAATCTTTCCTTCCATAATCTTATCACGAACAAAGTGACAATCAATCTCAATTCCCAATGTCTTATATGTTCATGAAAGACTGGATTTGTTGCAATATGAAGACTGAAGAGCAACTTGATTATTGCAAAACAAGGTGGCTGGCCTTTTGTCTTGGATGCATAGATCGTGAAAGATTTTGTAACCATGTGAGTTCACAACAAGCTTCAACAGAGGGTAAAGATACTATCTTTTGACGTTTACTTTTCCATGAGAAGAGAGTTTCCAAAGAAAATACAACAGCCAGTTGTTGAACGTCATGTAGTAGGACAACCCGCCCAATCTGAATCACATATATGCCTTCAATTTTAAAGATTTTTGATATGGTAATATCATACCTTGACCTGAAGTACCTTTCAAATACTTTAAAATATGTAAGGTTGCTTTGTAGTGAGACTTTCAAGGAGATTGCATGAATCTACTTAATAAATGAACGAAACAAGGTAATATCCGGTCGTGTAATGGTAAGATAAATCAAACTGCCAACCAATCTTCAATACTTTGTTGGATCATCTAGTCCATCACCATCATCAGATGGTGATAGTATAAGGCCTTCCATGGTGTGCCAAAAAATTGAGTTTGATTCCATATTTATAGGAATACAAATCTTACACAGGGTTAGAAGATTTGAGTTTATGAGAGTGATTATAATTCTTGAGTTCAATATTTTGAATTCGTAGTTTGATTCATGTATAACTAGATGACCAATCCTTTGAGAGAGGAAAGAGACCACTCAATCATAATTTCGGGAAAAAGAAAAGAGAATTCACATATATCAAACTCATACCACTGTAGCAACATTGTTATAGGAATCAAACTCAAGTTGTTTGGTTCCTATATATAAGAATAAAATTCGCCTAAATTATTGTGAAAGGCGTAAATACTTGTAAGTGTTTTAGCTAAATACTAAAATTTCACTGTGTGCTCGATTATATGGTAGAATAATACTTGGCTACTCAAATTCTTTGTAACCAATTCACAAAATTGTGTGTTTATGATCGGAAAATAGCATATTATAAAACACTTTGTAAAGATTATATTTATTAAAAAAAATCAATTAAAACTAAAATCATTTAATTAATCAACTGTAGCAAATAAATCACTTTTCATTTAGTCAATCTATTTTGAACCGTCTATGTATTTACTCCAATTGATTGATTAAACGACTTTTGCTTTGATTGATTTTTTCAGAGAACTTTTATGTAGTGATTATAACATAACTGATTTCTATGATAAGCATGAAACTTTATAATATCTCGTTTGGAAGTATTTTTTAAATGATTAAAATCATTTTTGGTGAAAATGTGTTTTAAACTAATTCTTAATAATCCTGAAAATACACTTAAAATACTTCATGCAAGAAACACTTTAAATGCTTTTAACATTCAAAAATATTATCACTAAAAACGAATTTAGTCATTTTAAAAGTAATTTTAAACAAGCTCTAAATATGCTACCAAAAGTTTTGAATAATTTCTCAGGATTGAGAAGCCAAAGCATTAAAAAGGTACCGAGTTTTCTTAATTCACACGTGGGAGTTGGGCGCCAGATTCCGCCGAGTAGACTGACTTGGGACACGTCAGCAGGCGCAACGGTGAAAAATCAGAGGAGGTTTGGTTGTCAGTGTCACACAGGACAGTGGTGGCAAGGTTCGGCCATTGCGGGAGCACCTCACAAATCACAATCAATCCACAAATTCCCAATTTTTTATTAGGGTTTTCAACTGGATGATACCACTTAAAGCGCATGTCTTTCATATTCTATACATTCCTCAGGAATTCGCTCTTGGGGTTCAGCTTTTCCAGCTGAAAGTCCTCAAATCCTGTTTGGTTCCCGAGAAAATTTGGGGATGAGAGAAAGAAGGGTGAGGACTTCGAATCTCTGTTCTGGGTTTTATCGAAACTTCAATTCCAGACAAGGGTAGGTTCTACTTCGCGGATATTTGACGTGGGTTTTACTTCACATAAATTTTCTTTTCTTTTCTTTTCCGCTTTCCTTGATTTTCTCGGCATCCAAACGGAGTGGAAACTGGGTTTTCTTAGTTGAGAAGTTTTGGGATTCGACTGAAGAAAATGGCCTCTGCCCAGGGGATTGTTTCGCTGACTCGGTTGTGTTTTGCGGTTAAACGGCAACGTTTTATCGGTCGCCAGGGGTTCTCGGCTCAATCTTGCGCTAGGGTTTTTCCCATAATCTGCAAACATCAAAAACCCATCTTGGTCGTTGCGAAATCAAGCAAAGTTCGAGACTTTAGGGTTTTCAATTCGGTTCAATTGGACCAGTTCCTGACCAGCGACTACGAGGACGAAATGGGTGAAGGTTTCTTCGAGGCAATTGAGGAATTGGAGCGAATGGCAAGGGAGCCGTCCGATGTTCTTGGGGAAATGAACGACCGGTTGTCGGCCAGAGAGTTGCAGCTTGTGTTGGTGTATTTTTCCCAGGAGGGGAGGGACTCGTGGTGTGCCCTTGAGGTGTTTGAGTGGCTCCGAAAGGAGAATCGGGTCGATAAGGAGACGATGGAGCTCATGGTTTCCATAATGTGTAGTTGGGTCAAGAAATTGATTGAGGGGGAGCATGACATTGGGGATGTGGTGGACCTTCTTGTAGAATCGGACTGCGTGGGTTTGAAGCCGAGTTTTAGCATGATGGAGAAGGTCATTTCTTTGTATTGGGAGATGGGTGACAAGGAAAAGGCGGTTTTGTTTGTGAAAGAGGTGTTGAAGCGTGGAATTACGTATTTGGAGGAAGATGATACGGATGGGCATAAGGGAGGGCCAACTGGCTATCTTGCTTGGAAGATGATGGTAAGTGTTTGTTTACTATTGTCCTCAATAATATGCTATTCAATTGTGAAATGTACCTGTGAATTTAGAAGCTTTTCAATTTGAACTGCCCACATGCCGTTGGTAGTGATAGAAATTTTGGGTTGTGGCTTTGGCTTTGACTTGAGTTTACCTTGTCATGCTGAATTATTAGGGTTGTGTGGCCATTTTTGATGAATTAAGTGGGTTCTCCAGTCATATAGCTAATTTTAATACTAGAGTATACACATTTTTAAAAATTATTGTTAGACTGGTTAGGTAGCAAAACATAAATCAGTGGAAGGCAAAACTGTTAGCATTGGTTTGGGTTTGTATTCATCTTTCTTAGCATATATATTAAAATAAAGTTTTAAGACTTTCCGAAGGAAATGATAAGGAAACTATTGGATGTGTTTCTGCAGGTCGAGGGTAACTATAGGGATTCTGTGACATTTGTGATTCATCTAAGAGAATCAGGGTTGAAGCCAGAGGTCTACAGCTACCTCATTGCAATGACAGCTGTGGTTAAGGAACTAAATGAACTTGCGAAAGCTTTACGCAAGTTGAAAGGTTTTGCAAGGGCTGGGCTGGTAGCTGCATTTGATACAGAAAATATTGGGCTTATTGAGAAGTATCAGTCTGATCTTATAGCTGATGGAGTACAACTGTCCAATTGGGTGATTGAGGAGGGAAGTTCTTTACTCCATGGGGTGGTTCACGAGAGGCTTCTGGCTATGTATATCTGCTCTGGACATGGACTTGAGGCTGAGAGGCAGTTGTGGGAAATGAAACTTGTTGGTAAAGAGGCAGATGCTGACCTTTATGACATTGTTTTAGCTATCTGTGCTTCCCAAAAGGAGGCTAATGCCATAGGACGGTTGCTTACTGGAACAGATGTTTCCAGCTCTCTGCGTAAAAAGAAAAGCCTATCGTGGTTGCTTAGAGGTTACATTAAAGGGGGACATTTTGACGATGCTGCAGAAACAGTAATAAAAATGCTTGATTTGGGTTTGCACCCGGAGTTTTTGGACAGGGCAGCTGTGCTGCAGGGACTACAGAAAAGGATCCAACAATCTGGCGGTGTAGATACTTACCTCAAACTTTGCAAGCGCCTCTCAGATAGCAATTTGATTGGGCCGTGCCTTCTATATCTGTTTATAAAGAAATATAAGCTCTGGATCATAAAAACGCTTTAAAGGTCATTGACAACAAGTTACGAGAATTCAAATTATAGTTTTGTTGGTAAACATATTGTAGCACCGGAACCTAAATTCGGGTGCTTTTTACGTGTTAATTTTGTATAGTTATGGTTGGGTATGAGATTTGGCCGTGATTTGGGATGGCCGAATCGCAGAGGCAGGTTAACTGTGATGTCCGAAAGTTTCTCTCGGGGATCTTGCACTCGTGTATATGGTCGCTGCTGTAAACATAATTATGAAGCTACAACTCTATGTAATTAAGTAGCCGTCGTATAAATCCTACAGGTATGTTTCACCGGTTTCTTGTCTTGTTCTGCTTTTAGAATTTCAAATTTCTCATGCAGATGCATCTCTGCATCTTACTTACAATAGCATCATGAAATTAAGTTATCGAATATGCGTTTCACACCTGTTTTGTAATTCGGATAGATGTCTACCAGTAAATGGAAGAAAAGTGTGTTTCTGTTAGAATTATATTCCTTTTGTTGCATTTGATCATCACCAAGTCAGTAGTATTTCATACATCTGTGCATATCCTGCCAGGATGATCCTCCTCTAATCACATATGTTCATCTTACATTGTGCGGTCAGAAATCATTGTAAATTTTTTTATTTAAAATTTAATATAAATAGTACCTAAAAAAATTGACTGCACAATGTATAATGAACGAATGTAATTAGAGGATCTTTATGATCCTCACAAAGAGGATCCAAGGGTCCTCTCTCCATATCTTGGGCCCAAAGTTCTCACTTAAGACCATTTAAACTCCCCAACAACTACTAATGTTGTTTGTAGCTCTTCTGATTTCAACTAATCCTTTTGTTTTTGTTTTCGTTTTATTTAATGAAAGATTCCAACTCCTCGAACTTTATTATGCTTTGCTATTCAATCAATTGTTGGATTAGGGGAGGCCTTTTCTTTTGTTGTGTGGTGGGGTGGGTTTGGAGGGTGGGATTCTTAAGTTACATGTAACTGAGGAAATATAACCCCCCCTCTACTCACTGATCACGTGATGAGTGATATACATATATAGATATATTCCCGACTACACGAAAGTTTTCATCCGTTGGCTATATATATAATTCAGAGTTTTCTTTCATTGCAGCTGGCATTTTTTAAAATATTATATCCTTTTTTGTTTCCTTTCTCTAATTATTGACTTTAATTTTTTTTTTTTGAAAGACATTATTGACTTTAATTATATATTAAGAAATTGCAAGAAATCAGTGAGTGGGTGCAATCTTCTTCACGTGTAAATTATGTGATGCGATGGATTATGAAATTGATAATTGTATCTGCTTTTTGTGATGCTGATGTGGGCTTCTCAGGTTCATGCTGTCTAAAAGATGTCTGCTGCATTTGTCCCCTTCTTTTTTCTTTGAGCCACACATCTGCTTCTTAAGCTAATCTGAAATCATCTCTAGGAGATTGGAGGAGCCATCTTGTTTGACCTTTTCTTGCATAATTTGCATTGAACCTGTGAAAAAACATGACCCCAAAAGTACTGTTGAACACAGGCCACGTATCTTGTCGATGTGCACTCACAATCATATAGACAAGTCAACTATGCACTCGAAGCATACGAAGTATTAATAATATGAACATGTCGATAGTCGATAACTTATCATTATAGGGTGGTCGGATAAACCATGTGATTAGGCGGCTTGATCTAAGATTCTCTCATGTTACACGCGTAAGCTATGAGGATTTCCTAAACATTTGCCTAAAAGAGTTGTGCTAAAGCGCTTTTTTTCTGATCACGTGATGAGAGATACCAAGTTATGTTAAAACGTTTTCTTTCTAATCACGTGATGAGAGAGACCAAAAAATAGTATCGATGAAAGGATTTAGTCTGCTCTGTAAAGAACCAGTGAGAAACAAAGGGCTTCAGAACAGTCACATGGTCTTTTGGACCAACTTCACAGGCACGTGATCGTTTTTTGGCTCTTTTCCATACACTGTTTGTGATCTGATTGGTCTATTATTATTCACTTTTTGAACTTTTTAAGTTAGTACAAGAATTGTTTGGCCTCCTTATTTCAATGCCCTTCCGTGTCCTCTTGTTTGTGTGGTTACGATTAAACCACGTCAATATTTTTTATTACTATTCATTTTGGTCTTATTATATCTATAAAAAAATAATATAAAATGTTGACGTGGCTTAATCGTGACCACACAAAACAGGAGGGCACAGAAGGGCACGGGAACAAGGAGGGTAGACAATCCTTGTCCTTTAAGTTATGCAGTACGGACAAGGATTGTCTGCCCTCCTTGTTCTCGTGCCCTCCTGTTTTGTGTGGTCACGGTTAAGTCACGTCAACATTTTATATTGTTTTTTTATAGAGATAATAAGACAAAAATGAATAGTAATATAAAATGTTGACGTAGTTTAACCGTGACCACACAAACAAGAGGGCACGGGAACAAGGAGGGCAGACAATCCTTGTCCATGCAATAGCATGGAAGAAATTATCATGAAATTAACATAACTTTTTGTTTTGGTTTTGATAATGAAAATGATACAAGTAGTCTTTGAGTTTGTACACCGTAGACCATTTTGGTCCTACCACGAAAATCTATCAATATACTTATTAAGTGTAGCGGTTAGTTTGATAAAAATACTCTTAAAAATGTAGTCACGTGGTCGTTCACATGATAATTTAACGAAAGTAGTGACATATGTATCACGGAAATACCAAAATGTTTTACGGTAGACAAAATCATGGACCACTTATATTGATTTTCATTGTTAATGATCAAAATGATGATTTATGTTAATCTTAGAAAATATTTTGACAAGAAGCCAATCTGAAATAATAGTAATGTTATTACTAATGTGCTCTTTTGCTTTGTTTTTATTTTTTTGGACAATTGATCAAGATAAGCATGCAAGTTGTAGAGATGTGGTAGACATAAATGCTCAACAACTCCCAATAATTTTTTGCAATTCAATATTTAAAGGTATATTAGCTAGTGGTGGCAGGAGAAAGACCACATAGATGTAACCCTAAGTTTAAATTATGAGTTTTATCAAAAGTTCTTAGATCTAATCTCCTAATCCCATTATTAATTTGGTCTTGAGCTTCCTGTATTATTTATTAATTATTTATAATGATAATTAATTGATAATTAGCTCCTTAGCAAAATCTAGAGTTGTGATATTTGATTGGGTGGTGCCTAATGTATGGTCATTAAAAACCAATTGGTTGGACCATGCATGACCGTGATGTACACATTTTAACCACTAATTGAAACAACCGCAAGATTAAAGCTCAACTTACACGATTTTTTTTTCAGCATTAACTACTTCTTTGTCTAGTGTAGTTTATGTCTCGACATTAAAAGAGGTTCAAAATTTGAATAATTCTAGCTGGCTAATTGATCAAAAGAAAAGAACGTCTTATGATAGAACGATAGTACTTAACGTAATCAAGTTTAGTAAGGTAACTAATGTTTTGGTTACATGTAAGGTGACTAATTTAGTTCACATGGCAGTGGAAAGAAGAAGTTGCCTATCCTTAAGCTGATAAGGAAAATAAAAGGGGTTGTATTCAATTGGGGTTTTGAGGGATTTTAGTAGATTTTATAAATCTATGAATTTTGATAGAGTTTAATTGGTTTGTAGAGATTTCAAGTAAGGAGGGAGGGTGTATTTAGTTGAGATCTTGAGAGATTTAAATTTCTTAATAAATTTAGGGGTGTTCAATCAGGATTTTAAGTGATTATCTGAAATTTAAAGTGTATTCAATCAAGATTTTAAGACAGTTTATTAAAATCCTTATAAATTCAGGTTATTCAATTAGCATTTTAAATAAGTTTATAATATTTCAGGTGTATTTAATTAAGAATTGATTTTAAAGAATTTTAAAAAGTTTGAGGAATTCAAGGGAATTAGAGAGATTTCGTAATGTATTTTGAACATTTACAAATCTCACTTCTCTTTGAGATTTCGACGGAATTGAATCAATTTGTTTTACATAAAATCTCTACAAGTCAATTAAACTTCATCAAATCCATGGCTTTATGAAGGGAGCAAATGCTCCCTCCCTAAATCTTGGTGTATGCTCAATACCCACCTAATCATCTGCCGTATAATTTTACTTAATCTTGGTTATTTTTTTTTTCAAAATTGAAAAAGGTAACATATTTATGTGAAACTTAATTAGAGTTAGTTGAAATGACACATGACAAATGATTAGGTATATGCTGAGCATACACTATAGTTATGGTGATGAGTAAAAATGCTTTCATTTATGAATCTTGTAAGATTCCTCAAAATCCCAATTGAATACACCATTTTGATTCAATTCTCTTGAAATATCAGGAAAATAGATGAGATTCGTGAATGCTTAAAATGCACTATGAAGTCTCTCAAATTCCCTTATAATAACTTACAATTCTGATTAAATACATTTTAAATTTCAAAAAATAACTTACAATTCTGCTAAATTTATTAAAAGAATTACAATAATTCAAAATGCCATTGAATACACTTCATAAATATTGTCTATTATAAGGATCCATTTGGTGTGATGTGACTCATCAACTTTTCTTCTCTTAGTCACATTTGTTTACAAGCTCACTCCATGCCAAATGACCTTTACTTAGAATTCAATTTCTCCTTAATCAACATTTTATAATTAATTAATTACTAATTAAGCTTACAATAAGCTAAGGTAGAAAATTAACCCGTTGACCTACTTCATCACTTGGGAAAGGCTAATTTTCCCGCTTGAAAAGCCACATGTCACTATTCTAGTGGTTGACAATGGTGGGTGCTGCTGAACTGACTCCGATATACAGAAAAAAAACTCCTTTTGCTTCGAAGTTAGCCACCTAAACAACAAAAACTTTCCGGTTAACCAAAAACCCCATCGAGAGCGGTGCGAGAAAGACAGAGCCTTTAGAGAGAGAAAGAGGAGAGAAAGCACATAAAAGAGTACAACCCATGAAAGAAAAGAGAAAACCCAGAAGCAGAAACCATTTTCCTCCATTTATTTTCTTGGGAAACAAACACCACCTTGGCCTATAGCTTGCTTCACACCTCTCTCTTGAGTCTCACTCTCTCTCTCCGGAGGTAAAAACCCAAAACTCAAATATTATCCTCTGTTGGTGCAAAAGCTCAGAACTTTACAAGTCTTATTCACTGTTTGTTTTTGTTCATATATATATATATGTATATATATAGATGCAGAAGATTTATTGCCATTTAGATATGCGAGGTCTGAAACTTTTAGACCGGTTCACAAGCACACAAGTCCATGCTGTAAATCCCATAGAAACCTCCAATGGCAAATCTTATGGCGGTGTTTCGAGAGCTAAGTTTAATTCCCATCTGATTAAGTCTTTTGGGTCGAACTCAAAGCCCAAAAAGTCGAGCTCAGTCTCTGTGGCTGAAGCTCTTCTGCTTCCCTATGGAGTCCCAGCTACTGACCTCCTTGAGCCCTCCATAGACCCCCACCTTAAGCCATCTGATTTCGTCGAAAACTTGGCTGACTTGTATCACCGGTTGGAGGGGTGTTCCTCTCATTCTGAGAGGTCATTGTTGTGTGTTCAGCAGTACTCTCTGTTGGGTGGGCTTGGTGATCCCAAGCTGCTTCGCCGTTGTCTCCAATCTGCTCGACAGAATGCTGCTGATGTGCATGATAAGGTTGTGCTCTCGGCGTGGTTGAGGTTCGAGAGGAGGGAGGATGAGCTTGTGGGAATGGCAGCTTTGGATTGTGGTGGGCAAGTTCTTGAGTGTCCTAAGGTTGCGTTGGTAAGTGGGGTTGATCCGAATTTGGTTTCTGGTCATTGTCAATGTGGGGAAGACGCTGCTAATGCTGTTAACGTGCCTTTTTTTGAGGGCAGTGAATGTGTGGGTTTAGATGAGGAGGAAAGTGACGTTTCATTTTGTATAGGAGATGAAGAAATTTATTGTAGAAGGTGTAAAATTGCGTCACTTTCTAGCCCTTTTGAGGCTATGTTGTATGGATGTTTTAAAGAATCGAAAAAGGGTAGGATTGATCTTTCGGAAAATGGGATGTCTGTAAAGGGAATGAGAGCTGTGGAAGTGTATAGTAGGACTAGGAGGTTAGACTTGTTTAGTCCCGAGATTGTTGTTGAGTTACTTTCGTTTGCGAATAGGTTCTGTTGTGAGGAGATGAAGTCTGCTTGTGATGCTTATTTAGCTTCACTGGTTGATAATGTCGATGATGCATTGGTTCTTATTGAATACGGTTTGGAGGAGATGGCATATCTTCTTGTAGCTGCCTGCTTGCAGGTGCTGCTGAGAGAGCTCCCAAGTTCTCTGCATAATCCAAAGGCGATGAAATTTCTTTGTAGCTCCAAGGTTAGGGAGAGATTGGCCATGGCAGGGTATGGTTTCTTATTGTATTATTTTTTAAGCCATGTGGCAATGGAGGAAAGTATGGTGTCAAACACAACTGTAATGTTATTAGAGAGGTTGGAAGAATGTGCAACACAGTGTTGGCAGAAGACGCTTGTGTTGCATCAATTGGGTTGTGTTCTGCTCGAAAGAAGACAGTATAAGGATGCCCAGTTTCGCTTTCTGGCTGCGGCTGAGGCAGGTCATGTTTATTCAGTGGCTGGTGTTGCAAGGACGAAGTACAAACAGGGGCAACAGTATTCGGCGTATAAATTGATGAGCTCTATTATCAATGAGTATAAACCAGCGGGGTGGATGTACCAAGAGCGTGCCCTCTACAATATCGGGAAAGAGAAGATTTTGGATTTGAGCACTGCAACTGATTTAGATCCCACTCTTTCATTTCCATATAAATATAGAGCCGTTGCAAATTTTGAGGAGAAGCAAATTAGAGCAGCTATTTTGGAGATTGACAAAGTTGTTAGGTTCAAGTTAAAGCCTGACTGCATTGAATTGCGGGCTTGGTTCTTCATTGCACTTGAAGATTATGAAAGTGCTCTTAGAGATATTCGTGTTTTATTAACTTTAGAACCCAATTACATGATGTTTCATGGAAAAGTTAGCGGGGATTACTTGGTGGGGCTTCTCAGCCTTCGGGTTAAGCAATTGAGTGAAGCTGAGTGCTGGATGCAACTATATGATCAATGGTCGTCTGTTGATGACATTGGATCTCTGGCTATCATACATCAGATGTTGGGACATAACCCTCGAAAAAGCCTCCTGCAGTTTCGTCAATCTTTACTCCTTTTGCGGTATGTTTTTCTGATCGTAGCTATCATCTTCTGTGTTATCCAGCTATAATCTTTGTGTATTATACTTCCTGTTATATTGTGCTTATAAAATGTCATCACATAGTCATGATGTTTGGATTATTTGAGGGCCTAATTTGATTGAAATGTTCGATATCTGTAGAATTAGCAATTTTTTCTTATGATATGATATAAAACCTACCGCAGATTTGAATCACTTCACATCAAAATGCTGTTGGATTAATGAAATCATACATGCTGATGTATCAATATTCAATAATAAGCGAATGTGCAGGCAATGTAGAACTTTGACTTCACCCACGAAAGCTTCCTAACTTATGAACTTTATTAGGTTAAATTGTCAGAAGGCTGCAATGCGCAGTTTGCGGTTGGCAAGAAATAATTCTGGCTCTGAGCATGAGAGGCTGGTTTATGAAGGGTGGATTTTATATGACACCGGGAATCGTGAAGAAGCTCTCGCAAAGGCGGAAAAGTCCATACACATTCAGAGATCATTTGAAGCTTTTTTCCTTAAAGCGTACGCACTGGCAGATGCTAGCTTGGACTCTGAAGCATCATCTCATGTTGTTCAACTGCTTGAGGAAGCTCTCAGGTGTCCTTCAGATGGCCTCCGTAAAGGACAAGTGAGTATTGCTTCATTATGCTTGCATTGTTCATCATTCTACATTCACATTCTTGTTCGATAGCGTATTCTGATAGAATATTACGCTTGCATTCTTTGTCGTTGTACCATCACATTCTTGTTTGATAAGTTATTCTGAATATTTTCAGGCCCTAAATAACTTGGGGAGTATATATGTGGATTGTGGTAAGCTGGACAAGGCTGCGGACTGCTACAAGAGTGCTCTTGACATCAAGCATACAAGAGCTCATCAGGGGTTGGCGCGTGTTTATCATCTTAAGAATCAAAGGAAAGCTGCATATGATGAGATAACCATGCTCATAGAGAAGGCACAAAGTAATGCATCAGCATACGAGAAACGGTCAGAGTACAGTGATCCCGAGATGGCAAAGAATGATCTCAATATGGCATCACAATTGGATCCATTTAGGACATACCCGTACAGATACAGGGCAGCAGGTAACCATTCTGACCCCTTTTATTTCCCAATTTTCCGCACTTTGTTGTCAAAGAAGTGGTTAAGAATCCAAATTCCAATTGTAAAACACACATCTATCACTCATCTAGCACTTGCATTCCCAAGAACATGAACTTTTTCATTTTGTTTTAGGCTTGCTAATAGTCCCCGACTAGCGGGAAGAGTTTTTTACTTGTGAAACCGAAAAACATTGTCTAATATATGGAATCCCATGTCAACAGTGCTGATGGATGAACAAAGAGAGACCGAAGCTATAGAAGAGCTTACAAGGGCCATATCTTTCAAGCCTGACTTGCAAATGCTTCATCTTCGAGCTGCATTTTATGAGTCCATCGGAGATTTAAGCTCTGCTCTCCGAGATTGTCAAGCAGCTCTCTGCATGGACCCCAACCACACAGACACTATCGACTTGTATAATCGAGCCAGGGACTGAGATACTATTTAGCGTGTTTATATGCTGCTCATGACTCCATTGTGTGGGAGACTTCATCTTTAGTGTTGAACAGGTAAAACTACAGGGGCTTCATTGTTCGAAAAGTCTCCCAGAAACCATAATCTCGAAGCTGTTCAGCTGCAAACCCGCCCGGCCACAACAAGGTATTGGTTCAATGGAAAAAGATCGCCAATGTAATGCTTTGTATATATGGCATTGTCGATAGATCGCGATGAAACTTGAACTGCAAGCCGCAAGCAGCCTTCTTGACCACTCTAGTTGGAGATGGTTATGCAAGAAAGAATCACATAGTAGCACAGGTTGAAGATTAGCAATCCATTTTCCAACTTTTAATTTTATTTTTAAAATTCTCAATCATATTGCCTTGAGAATTGTTTGATGTCAATCGACGAGAAAACGGATTTCCAATACAATCCCATTGTACATTAGCAAAGTTGAGGACATCTATTTATCTCAATTATTGCAACATATTTGAGATTTTCCTTTCTTTTGTATCTGTTTAATTTCGCCAGAAAAACAATGCAGAGAATCTGCCAAACGATGGTTGCCCTCGGAAGGTTTTACGGTAACTTTCAGCTCTTGAAGATGAAACTAGAACGCTAAATCTGGAGACCACCCAACGGAGGCCTTTCTACTCAGAAAGTTGAATTTTATTGATCTCAGACGTATATTTTCGGGTATACAAGCTTAAAAATCTCGCTTTCTCAGTTATTTACAACACAATACCTCTAACTTAGTTAGATACAATACAACACAATCATATATATATTCTATTTGCATCCTGCTGCTATAAATCAATGGCAAAATCAGGTAAAAGAATAAAACTCACACAAAATTAAATAGATTTCATGATCAACTTCCTTCTGCTGACATAATTTCAAGCTCTGCCCACCAAAGTGGTGATAGTTTCGGTGTGGCTGCGTCAGGTCCCATGGCTGTGATTTCCTTTAACCTGCCCGTGATCTCTGTCATTGTCGGTCTCTGTTTAGGGTCAGGATGGACGCAATCCTTTATCACTCGAAATAATTTGGTTAGCTCTTCTTCTTGGTAAGAGTTTAGGGTAGGATCCATTATTTCTCTTAAGGATTTATCTCCTTTTAGATAGTGAGACGCCCAGTCTTCAAGAGAACCGTTTTCCACGGAGTATGGAATCCTACCAGTGATCATTTCAAACAATATTACTCCAAAGCTGTAGACATTGCTTTCTGGATCCATGGACATGGAATCACGAAGCTTCTTGTTAACGGGTCCCATCTTCGCTGCTGTCACTTCATTCAAGAAGGTAAAATCGGATATTTTGGCCGCGTAGTCTTCAGTCAGGTAGACAGAAGATGATTGCAAGTTCTTCTGTACTAAAGGTGGAGTCAGCTGGTGCATATACTCTAGACAATATGCCATCCCCATGGCTATTCGTAGTCTCATTCCCCAGTCCAGGTGCTCAGCTTCTTTTACTGCAAGACACAAAAATTCGGCTTATCAAAACTGTGTATCCTAGGTACATAAGCATTCCTTTTCAGCTAACGTAAGTTGGTCTGTGTCAAAGCATTTTGATTACGAAAATGCTATAGGAAGTACAGATTGACTACTTTTTATTACTTTCTTCACAACATAGAGAGAAAGTACTCACTGTGTAGATGCTCAAAAAGTGTTCCATTTGGAGCATACTCGAAAACCATCATTCTTGTGAATGGTTTCTCTTCTTCACAAAACCCAATAAGGTTTACAAAGTTCTTGTGGTTCACTTTGGACAATGTTTCTATCTGTAAAAGCAGGAAAAACACATGTTTATATTGAATATACATCAAAAGAAGTGGCAATTCGGGACTCTTGGACTAAATGGTGCATAAAATTTGATAGATTGTTTGCTATTTACCTTCTTTCTAAACTGAGTCTCCAAATTTTTAGTCCAGTCTGCAGAAGATTCCATTGTGATTGATGTCACAGCTATTTCAACCCCACTTGAAAGAGTTCCCTTATAAACGTTGCCATCTGAGAGGGTTCCAATTACATTACTGAAATCTTCACAAGCTGCCTCAAGTTCTGATCGGTTCAGCTTTGGTACACCTGAAACACAGTTCATCAAGCTGAGCACTTGAAACATTGTCGGAGTTTAAGCGAAAATTTGACCGCACCAAATTTAAAGGAATCAGATGTGAATATAAACATACATATATACATGCATAAGTGTTTAAGTTTGTGTGTGCAGGCCTGCCAGGGGCCTGAATATTCTCACAAATCTGACCTGTTACAAATGCTTTCTGCAGCTGCCCACTTAAGCCGGTGACCCAGGGCTTGACGGTAACAACTTTAGTGCTTCGGGCCACAATAATGCCAACAACTGAAAGGAAAATCAATAACGAACCTCCAACAACGCCTGCACATATCATAACTACACGATGCCTTGAATTGGAGCTGCTTTGAGCCACCTGACTTGGACTTAAAGAAGGGGAAGGAATTGGCTCTGGACTGGACTCTGAAGGTGGAATAATAGTTGTTGGGGGATTTTTTGGGACTGGAGAGGCAGGAGTCGGTGCTACTGAAGGTGAGGGTGAAGGAGCAAGAAAACTACTTGGGGGAGATGCCAAAGGAGAATTTGTCGATGGTGATGGTAAAGGGGAATCTAATGATGGTGATGGTGATGGTGATGGTGAAAATATTGAGGGTGGCAATGAGACTGAAAATGGCTGTGGAGATGGTGAAGAAGGCTGATGAAGTGGTGGTGAGGAAGGTGAAGAAGCTGATGTTGATAATGATCTGCGTTTATTTTCTTTAGCCCTTCCGAATCTAGATGGCTCCTTTTCATCTGCTACCTGCTGCAGCCTACGGTAAGCTACATCTTCAGGTTTGGCAGTGCTCCTACCAAACAAACAAAAAAAAGGTCATCATGGACTGAATGAAGGAAATTATATGTTACAACGTACAAAATTGTTTGTATATTGTAATGCTTCCCATATTTTGTACAATGCCGAAACATAAAGAACTTGTTGAGAATGAACTAGTTTTTAGTAAATTAGGTCGAAGTTTAAATTTCTTACCAGCTGATAGATCTGCTCATACAAAAAGCAGCATCTGTTAGCTGATCCTGATCTACCTGGCATTCCGAAAGCATCTCCAATTGGTGGAGTTCGGCAGGTATGGAACCAAGAAATCTGTTATTGTCAAGCAAACTGCAAAAAGAGTCACAAGATGAGTTTAGTAAAACTGTAAAATCCAAGAAGCAATAAGACTCGTGAGTGGAAACATCTACACACAGAGTAGTAAGAGATGGATTCTTGCTGAAATCAGATGGGAAAGGTCCGGTAAAGTTGTTATATCCCAAGTCCAAAACTTCCAGCTCCATTAACTCTGCAATCTCTTTCGGTATGTTTCCAGTAAACGAATTATTGCGCAAAATACTGCAGTAAAGAAGTACCAGATTCAGAGTAATGCCTTGAAGCAAAAGGTTGAAAATAAATAGATTTTGAAGAAAAATCATTGGACTAGAACCAGTTATATTCGTACATGGATTTTATGTAAGCTAGCTTCCCTAATTCAGGGGCCAACGTTCCTCCAAGACAAAGATCTTTCAAATTCCTGCAAGTTGATCAATCTTATTTTATTAGGCTAACAAAACCATGAATTAATATAGGAGATGAAAGAGTCTAAATATATATGATTTCAAATATAATTGGTAGAAACTCAAAGTTTCCGTTGATAGATCTTTAAAGATTCGCGCTTTTCCAATCACTAAAGCTTCAAGCTAGAACAATGGTGAAATGATTTGAGCCGTGTTCCAGTACTCAGAAAACAAGATGCCGAAGCAAAAGATGATGAACAATATAGAGATTTATCAGCAAGTGCCACTCACAAGATGATAACTTTTCCATCCGAGCATTCGACCCCGAACCACGAACAAGGATCGTCATCTTCTCCACCATTGTTGTTCCAATTCGACAAAGCCCCAAAAGGGTCTGTCACCACCCTGTCCCTGAACCTCAACAACGCCACACCTGCATCCAAGCACCACGCATTTGTCAGAAACCAAAACCCATTAAGTAGCTGGTTTAAAAAGCCAAAACCCATGAAGCAGCTGATTGAAAACTGTATGGAAATGCAGAACAACAAGTACTACTAGTTCGTATACCTTCAATGTTGAGAGACCAACACGGGCTCAGATTCTGATGAAACAGTAAAAGAAATACCACCGTCACCACCGCCATCCGCCGGTGCTCCAAAAGCCCAGAAAATCTCGACCGTTGAATCATCCCCACGTCAAACAGAATCAAATATTCCCAAGCTGCAACCTTTATACACACAGAAAGAGAAGAAATGTTTTTGTGGGAGTCTCAAGAACGGCAAGAGAAAAGTTGGACAGAGGTGGAAGAAAGCGCGTGCAATCAGAGACTTGTTAAAAATCATTTACCAGTTGGAAAGTTCCATTTTTTTAATGCTTGACCGAAAACTTACCAAAATGGGAACCCGAAACGGGAATCGAAATATCGGGGAAAGACGACGGAAAGTTGAATGTTTCGGTTCCGCGGCAATTCAGCAACGTTTTGTTTTGCTTGCTTTGTCTTGTGGCTAGCAGCCAGCGACTGGGCTCGGAGACATATTTATAGCGCCGTCATATCGCAGCCACGTGCTGGCCACGTGATATTTTCGGTGAGGTTTCCTTTTCTTTCATTGTACTTCTTTAGGGTTGAAGAGATTTTCCAGTATGATTGAAATATGAATTGGTACACCACGTATCATTATGTAAATAGTACGATATATGTGTTAAAAAATTAATAATATATAAAAATACGTAATGTACCATCTGTGTTCCAGTTACAATGAAAAATTTTCCCTAGGGTTGCCACTTTCTGCTAAGATCAGTTTGTAGTATTTTCCTAGAAATATCATGACCGCCCGTTTGATTTAATCAGAGTCCTTTTTCTTCCTTTTGGTATATAATATTCGAAGGGATTTGTTCTTCTTTTTTTATTGTAAAATAAAAGATTAGCTCATAATTTAATCACTTAATTAATATGTATAATGTTTAGTTATATCTCTCACCTAAATGAAATTTCATAAGCTCGTATTTATTTCGAAAATCAGTTCAACGCTGAGATATATCATATGAAGATTTAGATCAATATCTGTTTTTAATTATTGTATATGAAGATGAAATAGTTATAATCATTATCTACGTCCTCAATTGGTGTCTCTAGTTGGCTTGACTTGAAATGATGAAGAAAATTTATCACTCTTAATCTTACCATTTTTGTAGAGATTATAAGGAATAAGTTTTCTTCATGAGTTCTCTATCTTCTAACTTCACTTCAACAATGCATACATTGTACATATTTTCATTCAACATTCACTGAATATATTGAGTTGTCTAACCCAAACTAATCCTAGACAACGATGAATATTACCATGAAACTTATCTCATACATAAGCATTCTGTTATATAATAAATTAAATCAAAACCCCTTCATTTTCGAGATCATTCCTCTTGTAGTTATGTAAGTTCATACCTTTCTAGGAACCCACCCTGCAATTTACTTAATTGGATACACGTTCGTGTCCCTTTTTTATCTATTTATTAAATCCCTTTGGAATTAATATAGTGAAAATTCTACGTAATTTCCTTTCTTTTGGTCTCTTCCATTCTCCATAGTTCGAGCCATATTTTTTTCTGTAAGACCGAGCAACCTTCATTGACTATTTACACAGGACTCATACCCCAGCTGGTACGACATAGGGGGCCTCAATTTTATAAATTAAAATCGATCATCTGGCATCATGCAATTGGTCACAAGGTGGAAATTACATGTTCTTCTGCGTTTTTTATGTTTTTGGGGCAAGGGTTTGGGGGAGAATCTATAACTTGAACGAGTCCACATTCCAGTTTCCATCACACGCATTTCACGAACCAGCTTGAGTTCCGGCCTGCACAAGACAACCATTTAACAATTAGTAGCTAACGTTTGTATTACTTTGTCTCCACACAGAACAATGATTCAGACCAATTTGTCCAGTTTCAAAAGGTGGGCTCTCAATGATCTCAACAACAATAATAATACTAAATAATATTTAAAAAAGAAAATTATTGTCTTGATTCCTACTTGGATATGCTTCATGTAGATCTACATTATATATATACATATATATATTAGTTTGATTGAACATGAAAAAAAATAATATAAAAAATAGAACTATATATCGTAGCTAATATCAGAGAATTAGTGCCCTAATTATAAAAAGAGTTAAACTGTACAGCTCAAGCAGATACAGTGGTGTTTGGTCAGTAATTAACAGATTTTTTTACAGGTAGGGGAAAGAAGATAGTGAAATATAATCTTTCTAAAAAACTGAGTGGCTGATCTGTAGTGGTTTTCAAGTATCCAAAGTTTTAGCGGATTATTCTTCTTCACCCAGCAACATCTTCTGCAAGTTACAACGACCTTAATGGGGTCCGTTAGGTCATACTCTCTTTTGAGTGTGTAGCTGCGCCGGAAAAGATGATCGCGGCAGTTTGAAGTTTGCGTTCTCTCTTGTGAGTGACTAATTGTAGCATTCTTCATATTCGAAATATGCAAATATAATTAATTTGACGTACTTTATGCATATTAATAAGAGAGTTGAAAGTTTCAGGTTGGGTTTATAGTGCATAAGCCATTTGGAGGACTATCCATAACACGTACGAAAAAGTGCTACCAAAGGCCTGCCCTCTTATTTGATCAACTTAGATTAGGGTTTCCTAGGGTCTTTTTCCTCTTGAACTAATTTTTATTTCGTATAACAAACTCACAGAAAAGAAAGGGAAATTAATGCAATATATGTACACATAAAATATAAAATGTTGTTGTACTGATAGAGGCTTTAGGGTTTTCGACCCTATAGCCGGACCACATTAACTTGCTGCTAAATTTTTCTAGGGTTTGTGCATGATTGAGTACTTAGTTGAATTAGACCCATCACCATATGTGGGGCTTTTCTGGTCTCCTTCCTTTAAAAATAGACAACACAACCACCTGTGTTATTGGACAATGTTGGAGGACCTATATTTCCAATGACGTTGGATCAAAATGCAGGACTTTTAAGCCTCTTAGATGAGCTTTGGAGAAGCCAGTTGGTGTGGTCTGGACAATATATCAGTATTCAGTACCATCTTAATTTAAATTACTCTTTAAAAATCAACTTAATTTGAAATCGTTTAATCAATAAACTTGGATGCAATCATGCAAGGGAGTTGGAAGACCAATAACCCTTGGCTACTCAAGGATGAGTAGGAACTCCTTTTCAAAACTCTTCATGTTTGAATCACAACGTTTTGTGATTATGATTAGAACCATTCATATTATAAATTACTCTGTAAAGATAATCTCTGCAAGAAAGAAATTAAAACTAAGGTCGTTTAGTCAACTGTTGTAGCAAATACATAAATGGTTCGTAATACTTTTACCAATTAATTTTGTTTATCTGTTTTTATACATTTCGTGGACTAAAGGACCTTCGTTTTAATTGATTTTTTTACAAAGGCAATATTTATAGAGTGATTTATAATATGAACAGTTCTAATTATAAACACGACAACAAACAATTTTGAGTAGAAACTCCTACTCAGACTTTGAATAGCAAAGTATTATTCTAATTAGACGATGGATTATCTAGGAGTCTATCCTTTTGATACAGACTTACAAGAATACGTAGTGGAGTTGTTGGCACTTGGTTTGCGACACTATCATCTAAGACGATGAATTATATGGAAGTCTAATCTTTTTTATACAAACTTAACACCGAGAACTCTTGTGGAATAAAGTAAAGACTGAGTGTCACGAAACTGATCATTACCTCTTTAAACACGGTCTTTACTTAAAGAACCAACACCAAAACACTTATAATACTTTAAAATCATTTATAAAAAAGAAAAGAAAAGAGAAGAATAATGCTATTTTAACATGGGAATTGCACATCATCCGGCGTCTACAGCTCCACTTTGATGTCAATGGCAGCTCCTCCTTCTCAAAAGTAAGACCTTTGCCCCCATGATTGAAGTGGTATAAGGTACTATATCACATACATGTGATGTGAGGTGGACCTAAATTTATGCCTGTTTCCCGAAGCTTACGTTTGCTTGTTCAAAATGGCAACCATATCACATATGCATTGGTCAGCCTACTCAAACTCATGGTCATATTTGTAAACTGATAAGGTTCGTTCTCATTATCTTCAATTTTGTTTTCGGCTAGCTCGAAACGAGGAGAAAAGAACCGAGCTTGAGCTTTGGTACGTACGATCACAAAGTTCAATTCTTGAACATAAGGGATGCATTGGACTGAACTATACCACATACCTCATCTTCTACCTCAGTTTTTCCAAAAACTTAGGCATACGCTATCAAAATTAATGGAGCTTCATTATACAATTTGTATACATTTTTTTTTTGAGAAATTAGGTTTACATCATTCTTTTTGCTACTCCATTAATTAAAATCCTATTCATTTTCAATTTTTGATCATGGTCCTTGGATATTAATAACATCATTAATTATTTGAATAATAAAATATTTTTATTTTTAAATATATTTCTTTAGTGTTAAAAATGTTACAATTAGTATATTTATATTTATGGCTAAATTTTCTATCATATATTTTTATTTTTAGTTTGTCCTATTTTTAATTTGTATCAATTTTCTTTTCATTTTTAATTTGTACCCATATATTAGTTTCTTTTTGTGCCCATATTTTTTAAAGTTTTATTTATATTTGTATCCATGTGTATACCGTCATGTGACATTGTATATTTAATCAATGATAGAAAAATTACATATGGTATATTTATGTTTTATGCCTAAACTTTGTATCATATATTTATATTTTTAGTTTGTACCCACTTTTAATTTGCAACATTTTTTTTTAAATTTATAGTATTTTCTTTTTAGTTTTATTTTGTACCCATGTATTAATTTCTTTTAGCGCCTATATTTTTTAAAAATTCATTTGTACTCATAATTTTTTAATCTTTTATTTGTACCCTAATTTATTTATAATGTCATATCCCGGCTCGGGTCCACCACATCCGGGGCCTGCTCTACCACCATAGCACGATATTGTCTGCTTTTGGCTTACCATTCCCTCACAGTTTTATTTTTGGGAACTCACTAGCAACTTCCTAGTGGGTCACCCATCCTGAGAGTGCTCTGGCCTCCTTCTCGCTTAACTTCGGAGTTCCTACGGAACCCGAAGCCAGTGAGCTCCCAAAAGGCCTCGTGCTAGGTAGGGATGAGAATATACATTTAAGGATCACTCCCCTGGGCGATGTGGGATGTCACAATCCACCCTCCTTAGGGGCCCGACGTCCTCGTCGGCACACTTCCAACCAGGGATTGGCTTTGATACCATTTGTCACATCCCGGCTTGGGTCCACCACATCCTGGGCATAGCACGATATTGTCCGCTTTGGGCTTACCATTCCCTCACGGTTTTATTTTTTAGGAACTCACGAGCAACTTCCCAGTGGGTCACCCCATCCTGGGAGTGCTCTGACCTCCTTCTCGCTTAACTTTAGAGTTCTTATGGAACCCGAAGCCAGTGAGCTTCCAAAATGCCTCGTGCTAGGTCAGGATGGAAATATACATTTAAGGATCACTCTCTTAGGCGATGTGGGATGTCACATATAATGTACGCATTCTTCTTTATTAATGTACCACATGGGTACAAACACAAATAAAACTTTAAAAAATATGGGCACAAAAAGAAACTAATATATGGGTACAAATTAAAAATGAAAAGAAAATTGGTACAAATTAAAAATAGGTACAAACTAAAAATAAAAATATATGATAAAAAATTTAGCCATAAATATAAATATACTATTTGTAATATTTTTAACACTAAAGGAATATATTTAAAAATAAAAATATTTTATTATTCAAATATTTAATGATGTTATTAATACCCAAGGACCTTGATAAAAAATTGAAAATGAATAGGATTTTAATCAATGAAGTAAGAAAAAGAAGGATGTAAACCTAATTTTATCTTTTTAAAAATTCATTTGTACTCATAATTTTTTTAATCTTTTATATGTACCCTAATTTATTTATAATGTACCAATTCTTCTTTATTAATGTACCACTTTGTTATATGTGAAATGTACCAATTTTTTTAACACTATGGATACATTCTTTTGCCATTTATTATTTCTTATTTTTATATAGTTTTTATCCATTTATTCAATCAAAATGTTTGAATTTTTTTATTGTAACCGTTTCTAATAGTATTTGTCACATCCTGGCCCGGGTCAACCACATCCCAGGCCTGTTCCACTACCGTAGCACTATATTGTCCGCTTTGGGCTTACCATTCCCTCACTGTTTTGTTTTTTGGAACTCACGAGCAACTTCCCAGTGGGTCACTCATCCTGGGAATGCTCTGGCCTCCTTCTCGCTTAACTTCGGAGTTCCTACGGAACCCGAAGCCAGTGAACTCCCAAAAGGCCTCATGCTAGGTAGGAATGTAAATATACATTTAAGGATCACTCCCCTGGGCGATGTGGGATGTCACAGTATTATAATGAGGAATTTTAAATTTATAGGATTATAAATCTCATAAAATATCAAACAATTAATGTCAAAACTATAAAAATAAAAATATTAATTGTAATATAATGAGGTGTATAAAGTCCAGGGACTTTGATCAAACTTTGAATATTATTAAGGTTTTAGTCAAAAAATGTTAAGGATTATGGACCACTTTCAAAATATCCCTTTTTTTTTTCTATGTTAACTCCTTAATCACAACGTATACCGTATATGTACATTCAAAGATTTCTAAGGTAAGAAACAAAGATGGGTATATTCCTAAAACGATTTACCCATTCTCTCATAGTCCTTTATTAAACTAGTGATATTTGACCTAATAATTTTCAAGAGAGAGAATAAGGGGTGAGCATCAAATGTGCAACTTCGCCAACATACATCTTGTACTAGTACTTATTCCAACCTCATGTTAATACAAGCAAAATGCGCCTTGGGCTTTGTATTTTTGGGCTTTGACTTTTGATTTTAATGAAATTCCAAATGTGTGATCATCAATTGTTAATTTGCAATTTCTAGTGCGACCAACACTTTGCGCAATTATGGACGAAGCGTAGTTCGTTGAATGAAAATTGAACAGCTGAAAACGAATCCATCATAATGAGCTTAGGATGAACCATTGTCAATTGCATTTTCATGTGAGAAATTAGGTCCTGTAATCAAGATTCTATTAGCATAACCATCCAATGAGTGTATATCACTTGTCCAAGTATCCAAAGTGAGATAAAAAAATCATTTAATATGGTGATAGGCACTATGTGGCGAGCAATAAGTCGGTAATAAGCAGATACTATAGGCCACTATGGAACGGTGGTGCCATTACGATGGTGTCTTCATCAGAAGATAGATTTAGCCCTCATTTTGAGCCTTCTTCTTGAGCCAAAATCTAGGGTAGTTGGCATGAGAAAACTGCGCATGCTATGCCTGAAGTTTGGAACTGTTGTAATATAACCTTAATATGTAAAAAGAAGAAAGTGCAGAAAAAGGAAATAAAAGCAAAGAAATTAAAATTCATTCATTTCATTCATGCCTTTCAGTGAAGGTTCATAGTCTTATATCACATTCGGTAGAAGCCTAGAAGCATCTAATTCTCAAACCAAATGTCGTCAGATTCAAAGATTGTCGGAGCTCTAATTACATTCAATCTTCTCCAGATCTAAAATCTAAATGTCCCTTCACGCACAAGACAAGATATGGACATAGGAAGGAGGATGTTGGCTTTGGTTTAGGGTCATAGTCATTCCACCGATCACATGCTTGAATCACGCAGCGAAGTTTTAGTCATTGAGGTACTTCGTCCAACACGCGGTTTGGTTTTTATTTATTTATAATTAATTGTCTACTTTTTTGTTTTTTAGTTTCATGGTGGTATGCTCAGTGTTCTAAAAAATGCTCTAGGCGGCCGCCTAGGCGTTAGACGGCGGTGCTCCCCCCTGATTAACCCAAAATCGTTTACTAAATTGGGAAAGCTATTAGGTGGCGTAAGGCGGACGCTGGGCAGGCTAGAAGGAAGCTGGACGGTCTGGGTTGCCTGGGAAAATACGATTGGTCTACCCAGAAGCAGGCGGACGCTGGCCAATCTGGGTGCTCTGCGCCTCGTTGTCTTCTCTCCCCGAGTCTCGCTGTCTCCCTCTCGGTATGACGATGGTTGACAAGACGTGAGAGAGAGTATGGATCTGCAATTGCAGATGTGGTGATATGGCTGACTACAGCCATGGTTTTTGTAGTGAGCAACGTAGGGTTTGATTATGAAAAAGGTGAATCGGTGATTGGGAATCGAGAGGCTGTACAAGCATTTGGTGTATTCTTTTATTCTAATAGGAAATATAGGATAATAAATGATCAGATGACTTTGGGTTGTTGGTTATGGTTCATTGCGCCCATTATATTCAAAGGTTAAACAAGGAATACAAGGCCCAATCTTCCATTATATTAATGAAAAAGGCCCAAAAAAATTTATAGGCTTAGAAAATGATACAAAAGGTCTAAAATTTTACATATTTTCTTACACATATATTTTTCTTTTTTTAAAAAAAAAAGTAATATCTTATTCAATGTTTATTCACATAGTATGTAGTAAATTGAATTAATTTATATGATGTATAATAAAATTACTGAAATCCGCTTAGGCCGCCTAGGCACCCGCCTAGACTCTGCCTAGGCGCCTAGCCGCTAGGCATCAGCCCGCCATCCGATTAGGTCCTAGCGTTTTTTAGAACCTTGGGTATGCTTATGGAAATGGTGTATCTAATTTCCAAAGGATGGATTTACTACAAGTTCATCCAATTGTGAAATGAATTGGAGCACTTTTGAGGAGATACATACAAAGAAAAGAAATAAATTAGATACAACAAGGTTAAATAATATAGTCTATGTCCAATCCAATGCAAGGATCATGAACAAGAAAAATTTAGTCTATCATCCAAGAATACTCATCGTTATGATTATATGTTTACTGTTTTTTAAATATTGAACTTGTTGGATGGATGTACTTGGTGTATTCTTATACTTCTATTTTTGCATTTTATCATTATTTTATTATTCATATAAGTATAGTTTTTTTTTTTTTTTTTTTCAAAATGTAAATAGGCACTTATTTTCAAGATATATAATAAATTTACATAAATCCATCTAAATGCCCGCCTAGACCCCGCCTAACCGCCTAGGCGCTAGGTCCTTACCCGTTGCCCGACTAGCTAGCGCCTAACATTTTTTTAGAACCTTGTTGCCATCCAAAATGTGTTGCATATATGTCAATAGATATTAACATATGCCGAAGCAATATGATGGGTGTTAGCAAGAGAATTTGTTGAGTACTCTTGAAACAACCTGCCGAATGCTATCGAGATATGACTAGCATGCATTACACCAAACACTTGATGGGCACAAAAAACTCATACCAACATTTGAAGAGTTCTCGAAAGATCTTCACATGTTTGTGCATCCCCCATTGCGTACATATACACAAAAATGAAAAATATAACATCGGACTCACTTATCTGTCTAAAGTCGTCTAAAGTCTTTATGGTTTTGATAGGATGTTGATTTGTTATTTATGGTTTGGGGTAAACATATCGAACTTGTGCATGCAAACCCTAAAAGATCATCCCTTTTAGGCAAATAATAATTCCACATTCAAAAACAACAACAATTTTTTGGCCACCGAAGATAATTTTGCACGCCAAAAGTTCATAACACATGCACCTCAAAATTTCTCAAAAAATAAAAAGAGAGTAAATAATAAAATCCAGGAAGAAAAAAAATGTACTTATCATAATCAAAGTTAGCTGACATTAACCTTCATAATCCATAATTAGGGTGACACCCCCACATGCGCCGGGCCTACACATTCTTACATGCCCAACAACATTTTTTAATAAAAAAACTACAAAAACTCCTCTCACCCAAAAAATTAAAAATAAAAAGAAAATAAAATTCGAAGTGGGTTTTTTTGCCCTTCTCTTTTTTTTTTTCACATTTTCTTTCCAATTTTTGTTATTTCTAATTTAGATGTAAATTACTAAATTAGAGTGGCGCACACGAACAAGAAGGGCACCTGATGAGACCGTTTTCGTTGCACGACGTACAACTCTTGAAGCCGTTCTTCTCAGAGTACAACTTGTGACTGCCGCTACACACGTCGCACAGAATAAATCTGTACCCGCCGCACGTGTCGCATACCCCCGGTTCCTGTGCGGGCAAGCCTTCCACGAACTTCTTGAGCTCGCCGGCCTCATGCAAATTTCTCACCTCGTCGGCCCCACCTACGTACCTCCCCCCAATGAAAACCCTCGGTAATGTCAACTTAGTTTGTTGACCGAGAATCTGCTGCAGCTCGGTTAAGAACCGGTGGTCCATCGCTAGATCTCGTTCGTCCAATGATACGCGAAACCCTCGGAGAATCGATCGGACGGTCTTACAGTCCTCGAACGTAGGCCGCACGATACGTAGGCTCGTGAAGTAAACGACAATGCGCTTCTCCGCCCCCGGGATGGAGCTGATGGACGGCTCAGATTGTTTTGTGGAGATTCCATCGTCTGGTTGGGGTTTGGGCTGGGGCTGGGTGGATGGGCGAGTTGACCAGGCGCGGAGGAGGGAGTTGGCGACCCGGACGCGGTGGAAAATAGCGGAGGCTTTTTTGGTGGCGGCGGCGGTTGTCGGTTGTAGAGAGTGGTCGTTGGTTTCGTCCGCGCAGAGGTTTTGGATGTCTTTGAAGGAGGAGAAGGAGAAGGGGGAGGATGGGGATTGCGTGTCGTGAATCTGAACCGTTGATTTGCTCCACGACCGCCACATTTGAGGGTTGGGATCAGAAGTTGGATTTTAGCTAGCAGAAACCCAGATGAAGAACTGATAAAAGATAGAAACTTTATGAATCGAGTTGAAAAACAGAAGAAATATGAATTGGGTTTGCTCTGTCTTTTGATTTTATGGGATTTTTTTGGGGGGATTGGTGTTGGTTTCTGGGTTTTGCTTTGCTTAAAGCAAAGGCCTTGGTGATTGAAATTTGAAAGGGAGATCTGCAAAGTTGTGGAGAGCTTTCGAGAGAGAGAGAGAGGAAAGAAAGGGAGGGGAGGGATTGGATTGGATAGATAGGCAAAATGATGGGGTTGTAGGGTTGGGGGGTTAGGCAGTTGGTTAAGTTAGTTGAGAGAGGTGGTGTGTTTTGTTTATTGCCTTAATGGGGGTTTAGGGGAGAAGGGGAGGGATGAGAGAGGTTCTAATTAGAGAGATGGGTAATTGGGATTTAGAGCCTAATTATAGATGAGAGGTCCTGTGTTTAGGAAATGGGTAACCTTTGCCTAATTTTCCATAGAAATTGAGGACCTGGTCAAGATTGTTCCTTTTATGTTTTGTGTTACACAAGTGTGGCCTATATTTGGGGAAACTTTATTTATCTTGGGTGGATTCATAATGAGATTTAGAGGGAGAAAATTGCTTGAGTATACAAGAGTTGGTAATGACTGGTGACTGATGCTAAGACATTTTTAAGCTTGAGTTACGCCTAGCATGACTGAAAACGTTTTTAGAATATTCTGAAATTCATTTTAGAGTTTACTATTTAAACAACCTCGTGCATTTATTCTTATTATTTATGAAATTTGATGTTTGTCAATTCATTTAATTTACCATGGTAGATATGCATGAATTTTACATTGAGAAGCACACAAGTTGAAGACCAATTATGGTTCGTTTGGAAGTGTTTTTTAAAATGACTGAAAACGTTTTTAGAGAAAATGTTTTTGAGTTTTAAAAACACTTAAAGTGTTTCCTATAAGAAATACTAGTTCTTCGAGTACTTTTCTAAGATTCACTTGCATTTTTTCCTTAGAATTGATATAAAAAATATTTTCACTAAAAACGCTTTCAGTCATTTTAAAATATTTTCAAACCAGGATTTAGTATAGATGTATGTGAATGTTAATGTGAGATTTAAGATACATGCCTATGCCTTAAATGCTTTGTATCAAAATCATGTGCTTATTTATCTAAATGACCAGCACAAGATCCTGCTAAGCAACAGCTTACTTAGATTATTCTGGAACCATATATTTAAGTAGGGTGGTGGTGGATCACGCTAACTCATAGCTTAAATTATTCAATCACAGGAGCGTGCTGATTTTCTTGCCAGCCCATTAATAGCAAGCAAAGCACATCGACATTATCTGCTTGCCAAAATCTTCTCCTGTTCACATTAGCACAACTAAAACCAATTATGTTGCAAGTGGTGGATTCATTGGATTGCTGAATAAAAAATTTCTTTTAAATTTATTGTCGTTCGGATTTAAACTCTTTATCAATTTAATGTAAATTATTTATTGTTTGTTAAAAAAAAAATGCCTACGTCAAATTACATCGGTTACTCTTACACTCAGGTTTTTGTTTCTATTTTCATTACATATCCACATACAAATATAATTTTTCTCAAAACACAGCGTCTGTTATACTTTGAAGGCTTGTCGAATCGAGAAAATGTCATTAGTAGTCAATTTGTTTTCACTTTGATCCATTTTATTGCCATGGTTGATTATTTAGGGTACCCTAAAGTCTAAATCTTAAGCAATTAACTAATCCGATACTTAAAACTAAAGTCTCTAAACTTTACATGGTGAGACAAACCCTAAATATCAACTGTGTCAATAAATAAGACCAATGTTGTAGAAACTTAATTATGAGTGAGATTGTTTAAGTGCATCCGTCCTTCAAGAAACACGATATTGAGAATAATAATCTTTGTCTATATATAAACTATTTGAAAGGAAATCGAATGAAGGACATCGGATACAAGGTTAAATATAGTTTAACACTAAGCTTGAAGTTATAGGAGAATAATAATAAGAGAGGAGAGGGTGAATGAGTAGCAATGATACATCCAACATGTGTAAGGAGGGACCATATATGCATAATTAACTGCAGACTGTAGTGGAGACAATACATGTTTGGTAGTTCTGAAAGTCTGAATAAATCTGGTGTTTCCTAAAGCAAAAAGTAGAAAAGCCACCAACTTGGTGGATTCTGAAAAGTTCACATGGGGGTAGAAGTGAGTAACAAAGCTATGGACTTCACATGCTTGATTGATTGAACATTGAAGAAGTTATAAAACAGCCTAGAGATCCTCTTTCATGTGAAACCAAAACTCTGAGTTTTTAGGGTTTTTGTGCACCCAAATTAAGGTATCTCTTTGTTCATTTCTTCTGTCTGTGAGTCTCAGAGCTGGCAAAAATTCCTTGCATGGTTTTGGTCCAAGTTCTACAGCAACAAATGACCAGATCTGGTTGACCTCAACCTGTCAAAACACTGTCATATGTGGTACTTTGATTATATTATTGTTAATACAACTGATTTAATTAATGTATTTTTATTAGTTTAGTTTCGTAAATTAAAAAAGAGGGTTATCTTTTTTTCCTAGACAATTTAGTAATGAGTTTGTTGATTGCATGTTCTTATAGTCAGTGTAATTCCTTAATTTATTGTAGAAAATTGTGTTGGAATATACCCTTGTCCGTGGATGAAACAAGAATATCATCAAACAGACAGACAAACCCTCAACTGTTATTGATGGTGGGTTTTTATTGATCAAGAAAATATTATATATCCTTGGTACAATTAAACTTCATAAAAGTAAGGCCTTCTTTAGGCACACATGGTAAAGATCAGTGTTTGAAATTTCTTTGATACAATCGATATTTTCAGCTAAAATTGACAAACTTTGTTGATATTTTCCAACATATTGGTTAAATATCGATAAATTGTTATACAACATTCCTTAAAGTTTCATTTTGCAATTTTTCATTTTTGAACAAATTTTCATCATTTCTATTTAAGACAATCGATATCGATATTAATAAGTCCATCAATATTTCCATAAATTTGCATATCGATATTTCTACTAATACTGATATTTTAAACAATGGTAAAGACTAAACCCACATATGATGATATAGCCAGGCTCGATTAACAGAAAACAATAAAAAAACAAAAACAAAAACAAAAACAAAAACAAAAACAAAAGCAAACTTAAAACTACAAAACTCTCGTAGAATGAAACCACAAACTCCGCAAAACAATATCAAATAGAGCACATGCAATTTACATGAGTTGAACTAAAGAAATCAAAGAATTAATAACAACATAAATTTTACAATGGTTGATTATTTCAGCTAAGATGGGGATGACCTATAAATCCCAACAAGCACAATCGTCGTTTGGGTCGAGCCCTAACTATAAATCCCAACAAGCACTATCGTTCACGGTAGATATTGACAAATGGTAGTGCTAATCACACAAGTCACATTTATCTGTGTGTGTTTAGTCAAAGCACACAAATCTTATTTGTGGAGATAGGGCCCCAGTGGTGAAGTTACCAAGGGGCAGAGAGAGGCTGCCGCCCTTCCTCTCACCGGAAAACAAGCCCAGAAGTATTGATTTGCTGTGGTGCTGCCACTCTGGTAGGTCGGAAAACTTGCAATTCTGTGAGGAGTTCATGCTGCTGTGCAGCGCAGGCTGTGCACATGCTCTTTTTTTCTTTTCAAAATAGTTAGGCCAAAAAAAAGAGGAATGAAATCTGGTTGGTTTGGTTTCGGTTCGGTTTAGACTTCACATGCTTGATTGATTGAACATTGAATAAATTTATTTAAATGTCTAGCCGCCAAAATCCTTGCCTAAGCGTTAGGCCATGTCTGCTGCCCAACTAGCGCTTAGCGTTCTTTAGAACTTTGCTCAATATATAGTTATGTAATGGAACTTTACAACAAGACACAGTGCTTGAATCCTCCTTCAAATAATACTGTTAGTTTAAATCCTCCTTCGAATCTTTCGGGCAGCCCAAGTCCTCTTTTGAATATTTCGGTTAGTCCAAATCATTCTTGAATATTCTGGGTAGTCCACATAGTCTTTTTGCAAACCTTGGACTTAGACCTCAAATGAGAGTCCCTATTTTGTTGGAACCTTTTACTTTTTTAAATTTCGCCCCTCCCCTCAACAATTTATGGCTTCGCCCATTCGTGATGTAGTAGTAGTGACTAAACAAGTCCACCATGGTTTTCGATATATAGTTCGCTCTGAAAGTAGTCGACAGTGCCATATTCAAGTGCAAAATATATAGCAGAGAAATATCTTACCTCAAGGAACTATATTGCATGTAGCCTCGCGCAGAGAGAATAGAAAATAGGGATGCTGGTGGGCTAAGGTTTCTTAACCCTCCAAGAGAGACTGTTCATATGCATCGATCCTTTCGCATCCCGCCGTCTCATAACTAGTTTAACAGCAACATATTTTTTTGGTCGTCTGCTTTGTTTTCTATTTGTTATATTTTGGTTAGGAAAGAGATTTTTTGAACTATTATCTCTATCTGGAAAAAATAAAATAAAAAATCTTGTATGGTGGTATGAGCCGAGAATTTTACCAACTTGCGGCAGAACCTACCGAATCAAACCTGGTTTCTAGCTGAACGCATTGCAGTCTCTACCGAATCAAGCTGGGCCTACGAGTCCATGACTGCTATGTCCTCCTCCCTCTTCACGTATTTGATCCTACGGAGAGTCAATGTCTAATTCTTGTTGCTTGTGGAATTATAGCAATATACTTACTGACAAGCTTATCCAAATATATTGGGAGAGCCTGTAGATTGCAGTTATTAATAGCTGACTGTGACTCTGATTGTTTAATAGCTAACAATTTTTTTGTTGCATTGCAAATGAATTGATCAACATAAGAGATCGACAAAACAGAGGCCATTCTGTGTTGATAAGACCAACTCTTTCCGTTTTGGGTTCACAAGGATAGATTAACGGCATAGGCCATTGTGTTTCGATAAGACCTAATTTATGTGTTTTTTGTTCATAAAGAAAAAGATTTTACTGGAAATTCAAAACACACAAATTCGTTTTGATTAAAACATAATGGCCAACTTAAGAGGTAAAAAAAAGCAACGGCCATTGTGTTTTGTTAAGACCGAATCTATGTGTTTTGAGTTCGTAAGGAAAGAGATTAATTGCAAAATTCAAAACGCACAAAATTTTGTCTTATCGAACATAATGACCAACTTAGGTGGAAAAAGATGAGACGTTATGGGGTTTCGATAAAACCAAATCTATGCATTTTGGGTTCATAAGGGAAAAGATTAACTGCAAAATTCAAAACACACGAATTTGTTCTTATTGAAACATAAGGGCCAACTTAAGAGGTAAAAAAAGTAAAGGTCATTGTGTTTTGATAAGACTGAACGTATGCGTTTTGACTTCGTAAGGAAAAAGATTAATTGCAAAATTCAAAACGCACAAATTTTGTCTTATTGAACATGATGACAAACATAGGTAGAAAAAAAAACACAAGAAGTTATTGTGTTTCTATAAGACCGCATCTATGCGTTTTGGGTTCATAAGGGAAAACATTGATTGCAAATTCCAAAACACATGGATTCGATCTTATCGAAACATAATGACCAAATTAAGAGGTAAAAAAAAAAAGTAAAGGTCATTGTGTTTTGATAAGACTGAATGCATGTGTTTTGAGTTCGTAAGGAAAGAGATTAACTGCAACAAAACACACAAATTCTGTCTTATCAAACACAATGACCAACATAGGTTAAAAAAACAATAAGTTATTGTGTTTCTATAAGACCATCTATGCTTTTTGGGTTCATAAGGAAAAAGATTAATTGCAAATTTCAAAACACACGGATTTGTTCTTATCGAAACACAATGACCAACTTAAGAGGTAAAAAAAACATAGGCCATTGTGTTTCGATAAGACCTAATCTATGCGTTTTTTTCATAAAGAAAAAGATTAACTGCAAAATTCAAAACGCACAAATTCGTTTTTATTGAAGCATAATGATCAACTTAAGAGGTAAAAGCCATTATGTTTTGACGAGACTGAATCTATTTATTTTGAGTTCATAAGGAAAGAGATTAACTGCAAAATAATTCAAAATGCACAAATTTTGTCTTATTGAACATCATGACCAACTTAGGTAAAAAAAGAACAAGATGCTATTATGTTTTGATAAGACCGAATCTCACCTTTTTGTGTTCATAGAGAAAAAGATTAACTACAAAATACAAAATGTATAGATTCGGTCTTATCAAAACATAACGGTCTTTCCTCTTTTGGCCTCTGCCACTAGTCAAATTTGTATTACGTGCGGAAAATCTCTAAATTACTTTTGTACCATTCCTAAAAGGAATTAATCTCAACCTCTCTGTATAATCCAATTCGTTTACCTTATTTGCTTCACTCACTCTAATCGGTTATATAATTGGGTACTCATTGTCCTCTCCATTCACCCATATTTTCTTAGTTATCTCAATTTTCTTTCATCCCAGCTCAAGTTTTTCAATCCAATCTTATCCCATCACAACTTTGCTCATCACGATGAGAGCATCGATGTGACTCGACTTCGTGGGAGAAATCCAGTTCTGCTGCTAATTTGAATCTTAACCATGTAAATCGTGAGGGCAGAGTTGATGAGCTCATCCTTTTGTCATCAATGTCACTTGTCACCTCACTGCCCCTTAGTTCACACACAAGCTCTTAACCCTAGCAGCATGAGTCTTCCTCATTGTCATCACCATCACCGCGGCGCCTCTTGCCTAGTTCTGCTCCCAGAGGCTAGCGATTTCTGCGAGGCACTTGCACATAGGGTATGCATCCATACCATCATTTGACATTGATCCGGTCCAGTGATGCCTAACTTATCACTTGCAGAAGCAGCAAGCCTCCTCTTCTATTGGTGATCTTGGTCATGAGGTTTTGAGAACCAACATATCAAGATGTTGTAAGAACTGATTATCTTCTGAGAGCAACCACAAAAGTTGATTTTAGGGTCTTTTTTCCCGAAATTGATTTTATCATTTTTTGTTTGTTGTAGGTTCAAGTTTAACTGGATAAAAATGGCGTTGGCTCTCGGCTGGTAATTTGGAGTCACAAGACTTAAAGCGTTCAAAGTTTGTGGTTTATCTCATTACGTGGATCACGAAAAGAGAAGGGCCCTGCTGATGCTGCTGGTGATCTGTTTGGAATAACTGGATTAATGTCAAACACGGCATGGATGAGGACTCTACGTGATAAGATCCCCATCGGATTCAATAACCTATGGTTTAGACGTTAGACCAAGCTGGCAGTTTGGAGCGGAACTAGGCATGCAAGAGAGGTCACGGTGATGGTTATGGCAATGAGAGGAAGACTCATGCTGCTAGTGCTAGGTTAACAATGTGTTGTGTGTGTTTCCTAACAGGCAGTATGGTGAGAAGGTGCAATGATGACAAAGGGGTGAGTCCATCAACCCAGTGCCCGCATCATGACTTATCTGATCGATTAAGATTCAAAGAAGAGAAGAACTGGAATTTCTCACAGGAAGTGGAGTCCCATCAATGGTGTCATCGTGGTGATGGGTGTCAAAAAAAAAAAAAAAAATTTGTGATGGGATAAAACTAGATTAAGAAACTTAAGAAGTTGGTTGATGAGAGAAAATTGAGATAATTGAGGAAGTATGGGTGTATCGGGAGGAAAATGAGTACTCAATTATGTTTGGATATTGTGATTTTAATTATGATTTTAATTAAAAAGTAGTTATACTTATTGAATATTACTGTTTGTTCTTTTATTTATGAATTTTTTTTTATCGCAATGGTATCTTAAATTGACTGAATTAACTTCTCATTTTTGGTCCTTCACTTTTGAAAGCGATTAATCTTATCCTTGAGTTTCAATGCCACACATCAAACTTTGGATTGCAGTAACCGTGGAGATTTACGTACATTTTTAAGTGTTCTTTCGGAACTTTTGAGTTAGTACAAATGGGTTATTAATAATGTGGTATTTCTGGAAATTTTTGTACGGATAGGACGAACCCATCCTAAAACAAGCTCAGACATGCCCCATTCCCAGATTCAAAATTGTTGATACGTTGGGAAAAGAAAAGACAGAAGTTCGTGTTAATAAGAACCGGTTGGATAGATGGAAGGCTAGTGGAGTTATAGCACTGTCTGACTACAACTTGAAGGTATACGAAACTGGCCTTTGTTTATTGTGGACCCTTATCTTACAGTCTGCATTTTTCTGATTACATTTCACATCAAGAGAAGCATTCTTGTTCCAATGTGTTAACGTGTATGGCCTGATCAACCGGTATTGAGTATGTCAATAGAAGCGGTATGGCTTGTAGAGTTATATTTTTTTCCCTTTAGAAATGACGTGGGAATCAGAATCGTTGATACTGTGAATCCAATTTGTTGCCAACTAATATTTTAGAGGACCTAAGTTTTTTCAATGTTGACAACTTCTTGTTGGTCGAATTTGAAAAGGCTATACCGGATGAAGTGTGGGTTTCTGGAACTTCTGCAAGAGTTACTGAACAAAGCAATAATTCTATTCGAGATGTACCTGCAAAGATTGGTTGTCTAAACTCCTTGCAGGTATAGAACCCTCTGTTTCTTTCTCGTATTTTCGCTCTATCTGTTTCTTTCTCGTATTTTCGCTCTATCGCCATCAAATTCGTATTGAGAACTAGAGGATCCAGATTTGGTTCCTCTTGTTTTTCCTTGTATGTCTTCGAAGATATGTTGATGAAGTCACGATTTCTAAAAGATGTGTGTTATGTTGATAACATATCTTGGTTAAACATGCGCGTATCTATGTTGCAGGATAAGCATCATCCCTACATGTATAGCGGGCTGCAATGCTCTTATTGAGGTACTACTTTCGGTGTTTTCCATTTTTTTCATTTCTTTTGGGTGTCTCTGGTGGGCGGAGGGGTGACTAGAGTGTTGGTTCGTTCCCACACTATGTAGTTTAGTTATACATCTGACTTACTTTCCGCATGGTGCAGGTTGATGTTTCGTCAAATCTTCTGTCCGAGTTGCCAGAGACAGTGGGAAGTTTGCGCAATCTGAAGGTCCCTACTTAATCTACTGTTTTGAACTTATTATCCGTCTCTCTTCCTTTTTAACCCATCCAAATTTGAGCGGTTCGGTTAATTAGTTAATGTTCCCTATTACACTGATTACGTTTTTGCCGTAGTAGAATTTATTTAGTTATTTGTACAGCGCAATCTTCCCAATTAGTGGGAAAAGACTTTGTTGTTGTATTCATATGGCAGCAATCTCATTTGTCTTGTGCATGCTGATATTCACCCGAAGTTTCTACTTTAGTGCAGTCTTTGTATCTCAGCAACAACGGGTTGAGAGCCCTTTGCGTTATTCAAAACGTGCCTACAGCTCACAACGCTTGATCTGCACAATACAGAAATAACCGTGGATGTCCTTCGTCAGGTACGTACTAGCAGCAAATGTCATTCTGTATAGTAGTCTAATTTTTCACTTTTAACGGTGTGATACCGACAACAGTATGTTCGCAGTTTGAAGGCTGGGAAGGCTTTGCTGAACGCCGCCGGTTGAAGCATCAGAAGCAACTGGATTTCCAAGTTGTAAACTCCGGTGCGTTTGATGAAGGTGCCGATAACAACATTAGTATCTTGTTATCAAAAGTCGAGCAAGAGAATTTACATGCCTTTTTTCTGTCTATAAGCTTGAGGGTGTTCAATGTGCAAATATAAACAAGGGCCCAATCCTAAAAATGTACTGTTCGCATCCGAGAATCACAGACCGACAATCACCTGCGGATTTGAGAACAGAACCTAACGGAAGTAGATGGATACCAGAGGGATGTCAACTTCGTCCCCTTCATCGTCCTCACAAGCCACAACAACATCAAAGTGGGAGCGGTTTGGAGACAGTTCCAGACCCCCCACTTCCCTAGCCAGATCCACCATCTTCTTGTCCATTCGGTCTTGGTGTCGTGCAAACATGGTATTATAAAGCAGGGAACTGGCATATGAGATGCTATAAGCATCCAGTCCTCTGTCCTTGAGCCACTGAATAAATTCCCTCAGAGTGGGATTGCCCCTCACGATCCACCTATCCCAAATGGTCCAGCTCATGTCACGGTGCTTGATGACCTTCGCTGGAACTGGCTCAGCCATGGCGAACAAAGGTAGAGCTAGATTTGCAAACGTGTTTCTATAGTCTTCTAGTTTGTGGCCTCCGTCCAAAACTTTGTAAAGCTCCAGGCACACCAGTCCTGTGGCCATTGCGGTGGTGGTAGCAATCGCGGGGATAATCTTGCCGGCAATAAACTTGGCTTTCAGCTTGTCAACCTCAGGAATACCGTAATTTCTGGCCCTCATATTGGCAAGCCCAGCTATCAGATCCATATGGTAATTTGTATCATCGTCCTTCTCGAACTGAATTGGTTTCATCCTGAACCCTGGTGGGAGTTTCTCTCGACAATGCTCTAACTTGATGATCAAGTCATCAATGACCTGTGCATCATCTGTAGATTGAGAAGTTAAATTGGTAGCATTATCATCGGTCACTATGTTTGCATCTCTCCTTGGCTGAAATTCTGGGACCATCACTTTCTCAACAGCTTCAGCAAACTTCTTAGAGTTTCTAACCCAGTCGGGGATTGGGATCCCAAATGTTTCTGCCTTTAGTATGGATGCTGCCATAACAAAATTAAGGTGACCGGGATCAGCAGTTGAGAACTGCAGTGGATGGGGGAACCGCTTAGGGGCAGACCAGAATGGAGTCCCACTACTGGTTGTAGCATCTTCAGGAAAAGTATAGATCAGCTGTTTGATGCGGTTGGAAAAATAATCTTCAAACCTGTGTAAACAAAAATCAGGCGGGAATTAATGAACAACACCATCATTATAATTCAGGATTACAAAAGAAGGGAGGAGCAAACGGAAAAGCGTATAATTTATTTATGTCAATTAGCTAATGACTTACTTCAGGCGTGCCCATGCAATGCAATCTTGAAATGTTTCGCATCTTTCTCTGTCAAGGCACTCAAGAATGCGCTCCAACGTATCCCTGGCCTGTGCGTCACCAGCATTCCTCTTCGAAGCAGCATACTCACTTGGCTTGGCTAAATACGCATTCACTTCAGCTGGAGTTTTGCCAAGCAAGCCCTCAAACTCAGATCGAGCCCATGTCAAGCAGTGATCAATGTTGTGTGGAAATGAGTGCAAAGTGCACATGGGTGCTTGCTTCTCCGGTGGGTCTCTTGAGGCACCATAGTTTTCTGTTAGGGGAGGAATAACCATCTGAGTGTTGCATTTTGTGCCCAGTGTACCTGACTCGAGAAGTGGCTTCTGGAAATATAAGCACCTCTGATCAACATAGAGCCTTGCATTGACATTATCGAGTGCATTGATAACAACACTTAAATTCTCCCAGAAGGCATCATCAAACACATCCTCAGTTTCAGAGCTAACTCTATTCTGCAAGGCTTCGACATTGAGATAAGGATTTATAGATGCAGCAGCGGAGGCAGCAGCCGTGGATTTGGGCTGCCCAATGTTCCAATCACGGAAGAGGAACTGCCTACTAAGGTTACTCTTCTCAATTACATCATCATCAGTGACTGTTAGCTTCCCTTGCTTGCCACATGAAACTCCCATCAGGGCCAAATTTTTTAAGAACTCACATCCTAGTGCCCCAGATCCAACTAGAAATATTTTGGCATCTTCCAATTTCTTCTGTAGCTTGGACCCAAAAACTGAAATTTGTGCATCATAACGGCTATTTAATGGTTTCAAATCACTGGATTCCAGTGGCTCTGTAGGAAGTGATTCTACTGAGTCGAAGTAGAAGAACTGGTAGGAACAAGTTAAACATCAAGTTACCACCAGCAGTGAAAATAACTTATGTGGCGAAAAACTTTTTGGCTCTCAAATAATAGTCAACTCCAAGATGAAAGTAAGAATGAACTCTTAAAACAATGGAGAGAGAGAAGAATGTGTAATGACCTGAAAGAGTGGATGGAACTTTCCAGAGCAAGCTTTTACAACCTCTTGACCCACAATACCACCAAACATGGCAGCCATGGGATTCAGTACCGCCTTTGCACCAAAGGCAAAGTGCCGCAAAAGTTTTGGATTAATATCTTCCATCTTACCATCTCCCAATTTTTCATTAATGTTACTAGCAATAGATATAAGCTTCTGCGCATCCTCTTCTGAACCAGCAACAGGGAATCGCCCAAGCTCAGACACAACTTTGTCCAGTGCTTGAAATGTCAAGTGTAGGAGTGGTGGCCGATCAAACTTGGAGAAATCACTGGGAAGAAATTCACCAGGATCATTGAGTGCTTCTCTCAATGGCTTAAATTTCAAGACTTTTGGCTGCTTCACCTGTGTGACAATACCACCTTTCTCATAGGTACCAAACCTCGTGGTATCCTCCTCAAGAGTGAATGAGTAAGCCCTAGCCTTTTTTATCCTTCTTGGTTTTCCATCATTTAGTTCTGTCATTCCATGAACCTCTGAGAACACAACAAGATCCCCATCCTGAAATTCAAGTCTCTCGTCGTCAACACATGACACTATAGCAGGGTTGTCATTGCTGATGGATGCAATTATACCCGTGTGTGGTTCCTCCCCATCAACATCAAAAACAGTAAACTCAGGTCCAAAGTCACAAAAGACAGAACCAAAAAGGCCTCTAGCTTCAGTTTTAATGAAGGCGATTGGGGGCTGATGATTATGCGTATAATCATCGAATTCAATGGCTTTTTCGAGAT